CTAGGGGTGGTGGAAGGGGAGGTGGGCGGGGGGTGGGGGTGAATGGGTGACGGGCACGGAGGGGGACACTTGACGGGATGAGCACTGGGTGTTATTCTGTATGTTGGTAAATTGAACACCAATAAAAATTAATTTATTAAAAAAAATAAAAATAAAAAATAAATAAAAAAAAAAGTGGTAACAACCCGAATGTCCATCAACACGTGAATGAATGAGCAAAATGTGGTGTGTGTGTGTGTATATAAAGTATATAATACACCATATTACTCAGTCTTTAAAAGGTAATTAAATTCTGATAGATGCTACGTTATGGATGAACCTTAAAAACATGATAATAAGTGAAATAAGCCACACACAAGAGGGCAAACAGAGTATGACCAGTTGAACAGGATACCTAGAGTAAGCAAATTCAGAGTCAGAAAGTGGACTAGTGTGTGCGAGGGACTGGGAGGAGGGGTAGAGGGAGAATTATTGCCTAATGGGTACAGAGTTTCTCTTTGGGTTAATTAGAAAGTTCTGGAAGTAGTTAGTGATGATAGTTGCATAACATTTTGAATGTAGTTAATGCTACTGAACTCTACATTTTAAAATCGTCAAAATGGTAGATTTTATGTAATGTATACTTTGTCACGATATTAAAACTATAAGGAGGAAGGAGGGGGGCAGGCAGGGGAAGAGAGGGGGAACACAGGCCAGCAGATCTTTCTGCAGGTACCCCGATGCAGGCACATGCGTGTGTGCCAGGCAGGAGAGCCATGTGCTGGCAGGCAAAACCAAGAACAAATTTACCCTAGTTTGACCAGTACGCTGTTACATAAAAGGAAACTCTGATGTTCTTAAAATTTTACCAAGTTCAGAATAAAAACCTCATCTTTCAAATTGAACAAATTACTTTTTCGCTGAAGAAAGGTAAAGGGAAGCTTGGAGTCAGTGTTCTAGGGTTTTTTACGGCTAGGGCCAAATCACTGACCTCTAAAATTATCTTGGACCACACTCTGTCCTTTCTACCTTTTGGAAAACTATCAATCCCCTACACTTGCCCAAAGTCTTGTCACAAGTCCTAGATCTGCACTTTGCCTTTCCCTGCACACCACTGCCTCACCTCTGTCCTCACTTTCTCCTCCGGTCCCACCCCCTTCTCTCTCACACACACAGCCAGCCATCTGCCTCTGCCAGAGTCCCAGGCCCGTAGGCACTGACTGGGACTTTTAAATTCCTCAGGAAAACATCAACCATCAGCTCTTTTTTTTTTTTTTTTTTCCAACCATCAGCTCTTGTTCCACAGCAGAAGGGTACATGGTGTCCTCAAGGCTTCTCTGCCAGGTGGCTTGGGGCTGCAGGGGGCCCCTTGCCCATCCTTTGCTCCATTGGGGCAGACTCATGGCCAGCTGTGACTCCCGTAACAATCTCTCATCATCTCTGCTGTCTCCAACCTTTTGTATCCTCTTTTGGGTTTTAGAGCCATCTAAGCTCTTCCTTTTTTATTACATTCACAATGTTGTGCAGCCACCACCTATGTGGACACTTGGAACATTTCCATGGCCCCCTAAGAAAACGTGCAGCCATCACTCCCCGTTTCCCTTTCCCCCAACCCTAGGTGACCCTCTAAACTGTCTTGAGCACTTCCTTTGGAATTTCTACATTTGAGTCTCAGATCTTATTTCTTAGCTATCATACCTGGTCCTGAAGTTCCAATTTAACTTCCCATTATCCTTAACCCCCTATCTTTTTTTTTAAGTTTTATTTATTTATGATAGTCACAGAGAGAGAGAGGCAGAGACACAGGCAGAGGGAGAAGCAGGCTCCATGCACCGGGAGCCCGATGTGGGATTCGATCCCGGGTCTCCAGAATCGCACCCTGGGCCAAAGGCAGGCACCAAACCGCTGCGCCACCCAGGGATCCCTTTAACCCCCTATCTTGACCTAAATACCCTCCTTCCAACATATCCACCTGTATGTCTTTGGGTCCCTTACCTGAACCCCGCAGAAAAGCACTGCTTAAAACTCTGCTGATTGAGGGACGTCTGGGTGGCTCAGCAGTTGAGTGTCAGCCTTTGGCTCAGGTTGTGATCCTGGGGTCCTGGGATTGAGTCCCATGTCGGGCTCCCTCATGGAGCCTACTTCTCCCTCTGCCTGTGTCTCTGCCTCTCTGTGCGTCTCTCATAAATAAATAAATAAATAAATAAATAAATAAATAAATAAATAAATAAAATCTTTAAAAGATAACAACAACGACAACTCCACTGACTGAGTGTGGATTCAGCCTGGGGAAGATGAGCAAACAAGTAATATCCAAGACAGGCCTGGCCTCTGTCTCTGGCTGCTAGAGCACCCTTTGTGGATCAGACAATGGGGGACAGTGCAGTCCCCTGACTTACTCTGCCCGAGGTGGAGCCAGAGTCTCCTGGGAGGCTGGCCGCAACATGGCATTTAAAAGAAAACTGTCTATGACTAACACTAACGTGCTAATACCAATCTCGTGTGCCTAATAAGCTTTGTGTTCACAATTACTTTTAACAGGCTTCCAGGAATTGTGCTTCTGCTGATCTGGGGACCACACTTTGAGTAGCAGGGACGAATAGCAATAACTGCCTGAGTAAGAGTAGGATGAACTGCTTCCCCATGCTCAGAAGTTATCTTTCCAACCCAATTACCCTGGCCACTGAAAATTGGAGGAACACATTTCAACAAAGCACTTTTCAAACAAGGAGGAAGGGTGGGAGGGGGCAGAAGAAGACTGTTTCCAGGCAGAGGGAAGCATGTGTGGAGGCCTGAAACAGAAAGATAACTTTGGTTTATTGAAAGAATTAGAAGAAGGGGTGCCTGGGTGGCTCAGCGGTTGAGCATCTGCCTTTGGCTCAGGTCATGACCCCAGGGTCCTGGGATCGAGTCCCACATCGGGCTCCCTGCAGGGAGCCTGCTTCTCCCTCTGCCTGTATCTCTGCCTCTCTGTATCTCTCATGAATAAAAAAAGTCGAAAGAAAAAAGGGAAGGAAGGAAGGGAGGGAGGAAGGAAGGAAGGGAGGGAGGGAGGGAGGGAAAAATTCTAGCTCAGGGTGGTTGGATAGTGAGTGCAGGGAATTGGAACAAGTGATGGACAAGCTCCACTTGGAACTAAATTGGTTCCAAATTTTCAGGAGTAGAAGACCTGCCTCCTCTGGGAAGCCTTCCACCAACCATGGGGCAGGTGCTCTTCTGATATTCTTTGTCCAGCACTGCCACCATCCCCACACTTATGACAACATATTCCCACTTGCTCCCTCCTTGGTGTCTCAGCCCCCTCTGGCCTGTAAAACTTGGGAGGACATGGACCATATCTATGTGGGATCAGCAAAACCAATTAATTGTCACTTAGGAAAACTTTCAAAGCATTGGGACCACTGTGGGCCTCCCCCATCTCCAGCACCAGCGCCCATCTGGGAGTTCCTCCGGCCAGGCCATCCGGCTGGGCCAGGGGGAGCTGGTGGGAACAGCAGTAGAGGCTGGTGCCCCCCTCTTCCTACCTCTCAGAGAGCCTGGGCCCAAGGCCCCGGCATCACTAGAAGCTGGAACTGCAAGGAAACACGGAAGCTTGATTTAGAATAGGGGGTGGAGGGATCCCTGGGTGGCTCAGCGGTTTAGCTCCTGCCTTCATGCCCAGGGCATGATCCTGGAGTCCTGGGATCGAGTCCCACATTGGGCTCCCTGCATGAAACCTGCTTCTCTTTCTGCCTATATCTCTGCCTCTCTCTCTCTCATGAATAAATAAATAAAATCTTAAAAAAAAAAAAAAAAAAGAACAGGGGGTGGAGGCGGGGCACGGTGTAACAGGAGGTTTAGACGTGCCAGGCTTCTGAGAAGCATGCAGGGAAGGTGTAAAGGGTGCAGGCCTGGGGAGGTAGAATGCCTGGTGGCAGAGGGACTGTGGGTGACCCGAGACTAGGGAGAAAAAAGACCCAGTGGAGGGCGACACAGGTGAGGCCCAGGGTCTTAGGTAACAAACATGCATGTAGTCATCCCATGCATTTGATGGTCCCCATTTAGGTGAGATGTGCCTGTAACAATGCCAGTTGGCAGGTTCCGGCCTGGTTTGCGGCCTGACTGACCCTTCGAAGGAGAGAAGCTATGAGCAGGCCTACGGCCAAGATGGGGGAGGGCCCTAAACACCGCTGTGTCACAACACCCAGACCGAAAGGGGGCCTGGACTTCCCGGGTCATCAAGGGACTCCCTGGATCCTGGGACCCAGCCTCTGGGCGGGGGACCAGTGCTGGCGATGAGCTAACTGGACCAGGTACACAGCTGTGCCTGCGGGACTCGCCGCTGTATCAGAGGCTTGGGGACACGAGGTCAAGCCTGAGGCTTCTGTAAGTATCCGGAGTTCTGAGCCCTTGGGGATGAGCGGCAGCGTCCCAGTGTGGCAGGCCCGAGAAACTCACCAACCCCATTTCCTCTTCCCGGACACGCATCCCCAGCCTCCCTTCAGGCATGCGCGGGCCACGTGACCCGCGTGACCCGCGTGACCCGCGTGACCCGCGTGACCCGGGCTTGGCCAGTGGCGAGGGGGCGTGTGCTGCTCCACTTGTAGCTCTAGCCCCTGTTAAATCCCGCTCCGTCCTCCCTTCCAGCAGAGATGGGGCGGGGGGGGGGGGGGGGGGGCAAGGCAGGCTGAGGGCATTGTGGCCCTCGTGCTTCTCCCAGAATTCTTCTCGCTCTCTTTCTCGGCCCCCTTTGCTCTGTGCTTCAGCTCCTCTCCCTGAAGAAGCTGGGCCATTTCGCTTCCTGAGACTGAGATGTCAGCCGACATGACACCCGAGAAGCTTGAAAAAGCATTGGTTGGTTTCTGCTTCACTCTCGGCTCCTCTGCAATGACCCTAAGCCTGCCACTGAGCTTGTACGCTGGGACTCGAGCCCACCCAGTGGCCCTGTCACCCCAGCCAGTCCTACAATGATGTGTGCATTGTGCCCTCTGAGACCCAAAGGGCTGCCAGCCAAGCCCAGCGGAAATTGCTGACCACCGATGCGTGAACTAAAGAAATGTTTATTGGTGTGTTGTTTTTGTTTTTTAAAGATTTTACTTATTTATTCATGAGACAGACAGAGAGAGGCAGAGACACAGGCAGAGGGAGAAGCAGGCTCCATGCACCGGGAGCCCGACGTGGGATTCGATCCCGGGTCTCCAGGATCGCGCCCTGGGCCAAAGGCAGGCGCCAAACCGCTGCGCCACCCGGGCTGCCTGGTGTGTGTTTTAATGTAGCCTTCTCGTGGCACTGGATAAATGAAACCGCGGCCATCCCAAAAGACAGAAAGGAGTAGAGCCACCCTGCCACCCCCCAGTGCCCACGGAAGGAGCAGTAGGCTCTCACAGCAGGCTCGCACTGACTCTCGGGGCCTTGCTTTGCTGCCAGGGCAGAGCCAGCCCTCCCCGGACTAAGGCACAAAGAACCGGGTCAGGGCCCTCCCGCCTGCCCCTGTGCCTCCGAGGCCTGAGCAGAGGGCAAGGGGTAGACAAACACGTACGAAGGAATAGCAAATAGCCTCCAGTTCAGGGAGGAGAAGAACTGGTCCGTCTTCTGGAAGCCCATGCGCTCGTAGAGAGCCACGGCCGAGCGCTGCAGCATGGTGGTGTAGAGGACCACTTGGCTGTAGCCCTGGTCACGGGCGAACTGCAGGACCGTCCTGACCAGGGCTTTGGCCACCCCCTGACCTCGGCGCTCAGAGGCCACGCACAGGTGGAACAGCTGCAACTGCTCCCTCCGCAGGGCGTGCCCCACAGCGGGCAGCACGCCCACCATGCCCACCACCTGCCCGTCGGCCTCGGCCACCCAGAAGCAGGAGCCGGGCTCACCCAGGTAGGACTTGGTGATGTCAGACAGGTCTGAGCGCAAACACAGGACTTTAAACTGGATCCAGGGGTATTTGGAAAAGAATCTCAGGGCAGTGAGGAGGGCAATGCTGGCGACGAAGACCAGGAGCCAGGAGCCAGAGGCCAGGAAGAGGGCGAGGGGCACCCCAAGCAAGAGCGCCAGGGTTTGGGGCAGCTTCAGGATGTGGCGGAAGGTGGTGGGGGCGTGCTCCTCCATTCCCTTGGAGAACAAGTCCAGGACCCGTGGGCGGTCCCTCTCCTGGTACTTGCGGATGTGGTAAGGAGCCATGGAGGACCGCGGTGCCGGAGTCTCCAAGCCCAGGAGGGTGAGTGAGCTGGGTGTCCTCGCGCACCGCCCCGCAGCCCTGGGGAAGAGAAAGGAAGCCCCTGAGTGCCCATCTCTGCCACCGCCCACGGGTCCGGGAGACCCTGCTCCAGGGCATTTCTTTTTGCTTCTGCCCTAGAGGATGTAGGTATGAATGTGTGGGGTCAGAATGATTTGCATATGATCCTGGCTCCATCCCTTCCTAGCTGTGTGGCCTTGGCATGTCACCTAACTTCTCTGAGCCTGTTTCTTCATCTGTAGAACAGGATAAAATAAAAAGCTGCCTTCCAGGATTGTTTTGAGGATTTAATAAAATAATACATACAAAGCTCTGGTATATAAAACACCCTCCTCTCCACCCACCTTCCCTTTCGCTGGCTCACTTAGCTTCGTGGTACGATGGAGCGGCACCATGCAGCAGCCAGACCATGTGTCCCCCCCGCCTGCCCATCCCTCTCTAGGTACCATGCATGGCAGGAATCCTGTGTTCCCAAGTAAAAGTTTCAACAAAGGCTCCTTCTCCCACCCTTTTGAAAAAGATTTGATTTTATTTGAGAGAGAGAGAGAGCACGAGTGGGGATGAGGGACAGAGGATGTTGGGGCTAGAAGCAGATTCTCAGCTGAGCAGGGAGCCCGACTTGGGGCTCCACCCCAGAACCCTGAGATCATGACCTGAGCCGAAGACAGACGCTTAACCAACCGAGCCACCCGGGCGCCCCCAGGCTCCTTCCCCCTCAACTGCAAATTTTGGGGCTGCCGAGGTGGTATAAGAGTCAAACATCAGACCTGCTCCCCAGAAGAGGGTGGGGTTCCAGGCCTCTCTCAAGATACTGTACTTCAACCCGAGCCCTCTCACCTGCTACCGCAACAGCCTTGAAGGTCCAGAGCAGTGTCAGGATGGCCTCTGCCCTCAGCCTCTGACTGGCATCCAGGAGAGACTGCCCGGGCTTGCTCCACCACCAGGAACCAGGCCTTCCCTGATGGCCACCTCATTGGCTGGCTTCTGCACATTTGATAATCATAAACCCCAGGATCCTAAGGCTGCGCCTGGGCCATGAGGGAGCAGGAAGTCCATTTTCCTCACTTCTATGATTGCTCGGGAATTCGCCTGGAGGAGGAAGCAGGATCTGAAAGGTCTCAGGAGATCTTGCCCTTGCAGATGGCCTACACTCTTCCTCCTGTGGTGGTTCGCGCCTGGAGCATCTCCCAGTTGGCACCTGGTGTCCACCCGCGTCTCCTTCACACAGCCTCTAGGAGCCTGGAGATTGCAAGCCTCACCTTGTGCTGTCATCATGGGCCAGAGTCCAGACCCCTGGCTCAGCGCGCAAGGCACTCTCCCTGCCCAGGCTCTACTCTCTCCTTCTTTCCCTCCCTACTCTCCCTGCGCAGAGGGAAACACCATCTGCAGTTCCCTGCCCTCATCTCACTAGGCCCATCCTTCCTTCCTTCCCTTCCTTCCTTTCCTTCCTCCCCTCCTTTCCTTCCTTCCTTCCCTCCTTCCCTTCCTTCCCTTCCTTCCTTCCTTTCCTTCCTTTCCTTCCTTCCCTCCTCTTCCTTTCCTTCCTTCCTTCCTTCCTTCCTTCCTTCCTTCCTTCCTTCCCTCCTTCCTTCCCTCCCTCCCTATTTCTTCTCCCCTCCCCTGCCCTCCCCTCCTTTCCCTTCCTTCTTTTCTTGGTACTCTTGTGCAGGATTCAAGTACTAAGTGCCTGGTGACCTCTTCACCTACAAGCAACACTGCCATGCAGCTAATGGGCACAGCCTGGGGTGCACCTGCTGTGCGTTCTGCTCCTTAGTCATGGTCTGTGCCGTAGCAGCTGTGAAATTTTTTGCACTGAGATCAACTAAAGCAGGGGACAACAAAACAGAAAAATCCCTTCTCTGGGACACATATATGCTGTCGAGGGGGCTGCTTCCCCCACCTCCAAGACTCCGGAGCGCCTCTCCGCTCGCCCCTCACCCCGATGCACGGTGAAGCCCCCCAGCTCCTGAAGCCAGGGTCACAGCGCTCCTCAAGCATATGCAAGCATGGGACGCTCCTGTGGGCCACGTGGGGAGGCGGCCCGGAGCAGAGGGCCCGGCACACCCAGGACGTCGGCGCTGGGAGGCCCTTGGACCTCCTGCCACCAGGCGCCGGGAGACCCGCGCAGCCTCTCACACCCGCGGGGCAGGGCTGTGGGGCTGCGGGGCTGCGGGGCTGCGGGAGCGGAGGCGTGAAGACCTTGAGGCGGCGGGACAAAGGCCAAGGTTTTCAGGGAAAGTTGGCCAACATGGCCAAGGAGGGAGGGACAGGGAGGTGAGGGCGCCTAGGGCCTGGACGCAAGGGGCCTGTCCTCCCAAGTATGGAGTTTGGACTCTACTCCAAAAGCGATGGGAGGCCATCCATATGCTTTTACCCGGGGAGTAATGTAAGCAGGGGTGTGTGTACTTGTGTACATGCATGTGTGCGTGCATGAGTGTTGCTTGGCTACATCTGGAGAGTTGAATGGGAGGAGACAGTCGTGGAAGCACATATTCCCCACCCCACAGGCTAGCTACAGATATGCAGGTTGCTCTCTGTCCAAGAGCACCTGGCCCGGAAGGGCTAGTCCCAACAAAATAGGGCCCTCTTCCACTCGCCAGACCGGAGTCCTACCACAGAGCTGAGTCTGGTCAAAGAAAAGGGACCCGTTTCTTATTTGCTCAAAAGCATCACTGCCCACTGGGCTGTGTATCTAATGGGCTGCGACTGTGTGAAAGGGGTACCTTGTTCTATGTCCACTAAGGAGCCACATGGGCCAGCAGAGGCCCTACAAGAGTCAGTGGTGGCTTGGACCCAAGTGAGGGGACCCAGATGGTGAGAAGCAGCCCACTTGTAGGTGCATTTTGGGGGCTGAAATGGCAGGAGTTTGTAATGACCCAAATGGCAATAAGGACAAGGAAGGGGTCAGGGATAACAACCACATTTCTAGAAGAACTAGAGGTGATGGAGAGAGGCAGACTTGGAGAGAAAGATCATGACTACCCCTAGTGGTACCATCTTGAGGCCTTCTGATCAGAACCCATAGGCTGGCCGCTGGAGTCTGGGCCCAGTGAATGGAGACTGCTGACATGACAGGTCTTTGGCATTCAACAAGGCCACAGGGGTAGAGTTTAACATGAAATCTGAGGGGTGAACCATGATTTCGTACATTTTAACATTTCAGTGTTAAGCAAAATTTGAACGAGGAATCAAAAGGGAGGGACAGAGGACTCCAAAGTACAGTGGAGTTTTCCTAGCGAGTCTAATATTAACCATTCAAAAACCTAATAGTCAAGGTGAAGGGCCAGAGTTCTGTGGTCTGTCCCCCAGGCCTGTACTCTCACCGGGCTCCTGTGGCCTCCTCAAAACACAGTGGCCTTCGTTTCCATTCAGGCTTTTCATCCTTCCTCACAGCCATAAATAATGAAGATTTATTGACATGGGGTGGGGGGGTCAAAATATAGCTCCAAGAAATAAAAGACTATAAAACAGTAGGTTTTAACTCATTTTGGCAGGGTGGTCACCTGGGTAGCTCAGTCAGTGAAGCGTCTGCCTTTGACTCAGGTCATGATCCCAGGTGCCTGGGATCAAGTCCTGCCTCAGGCCCCCTGCTCTGCTGGGAGATGCTTCCCCCTCTGCCTCCGCCTGCAGCTCCCCCTGCTTGTGCTCTCTGTCAAATAAATGAAGTCTTACAAAAAAAACCTTATTTTTGGAAAAATATAACTCAAAACTACCAGACACAGCATGCAGAGAGAAACATCTGAGTGATTGTACTAGATGCTGGCAGCAGCTGTCTCCAGATGGAGGACTTATGGGTCATTCTCTGTGTAAACCATGAAGCCTGGAGTGTGCTGAGGCTCCAGGCTCCTGCCTTCAGATGGTGAAACGGAGGCTTGGGAATCTACCTGGCTCTGCCTCAGCCGGACCTGAGAATCTAAAGGCACCTACTTAAGATCATGAACTCCTAAAGGTAAGGCAGATGTGTTCTATTACTTCATGTTTTAATTAACTGTTGTAGTGTGTACAATTCAGTGGCTTCAGCACACTCACGATGCTGTGCAACTGCCGCCTCTACCTGGTTCCAAGCATGTCCACACCCCAGAAGAAACCCCCTGGCCTCCATGTAGTCACTCTCTCTTCCTCCTCTCACCAGACCCTGGCAACAGCTAACTGGCTTTCTGTATATGTCATTTAAATGGAATCATGTGATATGCAAACTTTTGTGTTGAGCTTTTCACTTTGTTGTTGTTGTTTTTTAAAGATTTTGTTACTTTATTCACGAGAGACACAGAGAGAGAGAGAGGCAGAGACACAGGCAGAGGGAGAAGCAGGCACCATGCAGGGAGCCCAACATGGGACTCGATCCCAGGTCTCCAGGATTATGCCCTGGGCTGAAGGCGGCGTTAAACTGCTGAGCCACCAGGGCTGCCCTCACTTTGTTTTCAAGGCTCACACACGTAGCATGTGTCAATAGGTCATTGCTTTTGATGGCCGCATAATATTCCATGGTAGGGATATCCCACGTTGTTTATTCATTCCCACCTTTTGACTATTGTGAATTGTGCTGTTATGAACATTGGTGTACAGGTTTTGGGTTGAGCACCTGTTTTCAGTTCTATTGGGTATACACCTAGGAGTGGAATTTCTGGGTCAGATGGTGATTTTATGTTTAACATTTTAAGGAACTGCCATACTGTTGTCCAAAGTGGCTACACTGTTTTACTTTCCCCACCAGCAATGAGTCCTTTTTTTTTTTTTTAACTATCTGCCTCAGCACTGGTGCCACTGCATAAGGAGAATAAATCGTTGCTGTTTACTGAGAAATGAGATGCCTGGCACTGTGAGGAAGCTATTTTCCTGTGCTCTACAATTTGATATTCCTGACAACCTAAGTACTAAAGACATTAATGTCCCCATTTTACAAATAGGAAACTAAGGCCAGAAAAGCTGAGATCTCCTATCCAGGGCCTCAGAGACTCACCATTGTTCCAAAGGCTGTGGATTTAAGAGGAACATGTCACTAAACTCCACGCTTCTATCTCTGAAAAACATTCCCCACTGCACTACTGCAGCCCAGAAATGTGCCAGTGAGATGGACAGGAAGTGTCATTGCATTTGGAAGTCTCAGGGAGAAGAGACAATCAATTCAGCTTCGTTTAACTTAGTTCCCAGAATCTCCCCTAACTTCTTGTCAGGGCTCCCAGTAACCTGATGCCAGGCCAATGCCCTAAACTTCTACTGACAACTTACCATTTAAAGAAGATGAATGGGAGAAAATCGTGGCAAATCCTTTCAAGGGAAGAAGACAGTGAATGGGTCGTCCTTGGTAAGGTGTTCAGAAATCCTAGGACAATGATTCTAGTTCTACAGAACTTTTCAACTAATTGAGACAATGAGAGGGTATCAGGCCCCAACACTCAATTAGGGTAACTTCAGCAGATTTTATGCAGATGATCAAAGGGGCTAATTCTGAAGGTGTGGTGGGTTGAGAGGGACCGAGAATGGTGCAAGAACCAGGTGTGTTATTTCTCGGAGGTGGGAGAGGTGACAGGCACCTGACCCAGGTATTGAAAGGTTCAGGGACAAAGCCAGCTCATGTGAGCTTGTGGGGAGGAGTCAGGAGAATGTGCTGCCTCTCTTCCCCTCTCCAGACTCCTGCAGGCCTCTCGCTGGCCAAACCCAAGCGGAAGCCAAAGAGAAGAGTCCTCTTGCTGCCATATAGGTCAGCCTCCAGACAGGGAGGCGGGGAGATAGTTGAAGGGTGATTTGGAGGAGAGTGTGGGAGGTCAGTGGCACTAAGGACTATGGAAAAGTCAATAACAGGCAAATTTGACAAATACAAATTGCTCATTCTGAGACCAACCAAACTAGGTTGTGCTTTCCTGGATATTGTGATGTGAGTTCAGGGTAGCTGCTGTCAGCAAAGCAGCAGCAAGGATGGGGGTGCAGAATGGCACCTTCCTGCTCTGAAAAGTCTCTAATGAGTTCAACTCCCCCCCCCATAATTCCACTTCAGAGAAGCTATCCTAAAGAAAGGGAAACATGTACAAAGATTTATTTGCAAAAGTGAAACATTGAAGGCAACATAAATGTGTAAAAATAGGAGAATAAGTACATATGTGACATTTTACACGTCAATAAAAAGAATGTGAGTGATGGCACAGGAGGAGTAGTATGCTGGAGATGTTAGGAACACAGGGCCAGACTTGTAGCCTGGGGTAGCTGAAACACTGCATCAGGGGAAGAGATGCCTCTGAATGGGCAGGTCTGGGCGAGGCACCACCTTAAGCAGCTGATTAAACTCTGTATCAGCAGTGACGGGCCAGCCCTCATGTGCCTCCTGATGACACACAATGGCAAGGACACAAAACTTACCTACTCTTACTCCCAAAAATATTTAAGCTGACTTAAATCATCAACAAATCCAAATAGTGTGGGATTCTGAGAGACATCAAGGGTGCTCCTCAAAAAATGTCATTATTCTTAAGAGGTTTACTTTAAAGGATATGAGGTATGATAACTAAACACTGTATAGGCTGAAGTGCCAGGTCTGCAACTTACTTTCAAATCAGTCAGCAAAAGTTGTGTGTACACCTGAGTACAGACAGGAGAGCCAGAGGCAAGCAAACTAGTTTAGGAAAATGTTAACACATAGTGAATTCACATGAAAGGTATGTGGACTTTTATTGTACTGTTGTCTTGTAGGTTTGAAATTTTTTGAAATAGACTTCAGAGACTAGATCTAGTTCCTTGCTAGTAAAAATCTCTTGGGATTGTAGTAAGGACTAAGTGAGGTAATGTGTATAAAATATTAAGCACACTACCTGCAAGAAATGTACTTATGTGCTTTATTATTTATGATCATGATAGAAATCACTAAGTATTTCCCACCTCCCTGCTTTCTGGCACGTGGCAGGATCACACTTCTGTCCTTTGTGAGGTTGGCAGGACCACGTGACTAGCTTTGGAGATAAAGTTCTTGAGTCACTGCCCTGTGTGTTTACTGCTTCATGCGGGCTATGCAGACTATGCATGACACAAACTTTTGTCCTGTGAAACCAGTGAGCCTTAGGGACTTTAATCGAAGCCTAACCTAACCCAGAAGTCCACAAAGTATGGACCTCAGGTCAAATCCTGCCCACTACTTCTTTTTGTCAATTGAGTTTCACCGAAAACACAGGTATACGCATCATTTATGACCTGTGGATGCCTCTGCACTATGACAGCAAGAGTTGAGCTTATGGCCTGCAAAGCTGGAAATATTTACTATCTGGCTCTTCATAGAAAAGTTTGCTGACCCCTGACCAAGGCTGTCTTAACTGCTGCAATCAAAATAGAAGATAAAGTAGGAAAAGAAAACCCAAACCATTTCTAAAACATGGCTTTATATTAGCTGTATGACCTTGAGCAAGTTACTTATTTGTGTAATTTTTTAGTTGCCTTGTGTGTAAAACAGTGGTAATACTAGTATTTACCTCGTAAGGTTATAACAAATAAGTTCTTGTATGTAAAACCCTTGGAACTGGGAGGCTTAGAAGGGAAATGCTGGAACAGCCAGAAGTAAGGGCAGGGATATGAGCTGATGAATATAAAATCACTGAGGCAAGAACCTAGGAAACACCCAATTATTCCAATTTTATAAAGATGAAATATATTTGAATAGAAACAGATCAGAAGACGAGAACACATAATAGCAACAGTGGCTATCTTTTAAAATATTAAGAGAGAAGATTAGGCATGGCTTTTTTTCCCTTTGTTGTACCATTGTATTTTCTACGATTGAACATATATACATTTTATAATCAAGAAAGAAAACTCCACTTTTTAAAAAGAAATGCTGACAATATCTAATATTTCTGTCATTTCACAAAACATCTTTTGTTGACATTCTACAAATGATGCCATCCAATAACGTTCCAATACTTTCTTCTTGTGAAGATAGTTTATATATCTGTAAAAATAGAAGACAAATCATATTAATATATTAGCATTATACATTATATATTAATATATATTAATTATATATCATATAATACATAATATATAGAATATATTATATAAAATTATATAATAATCACATGATATATTAATTATATATTAATATATTAATTATACATAATATATTAGCATACTAATATATTCATGTACTACTCATTTTCATTATACAAACATGTATGAGTTAAATTATTTTTTATTTAACTACTGGGATAATGGTATGAAATCACAAGTCAAGAACGTGATTAAAATATGCCAGAGTAGATGGCAATTCATCACTTATGTCAAAAGTTCCCTTTAAATTGCAGTTATGGTTATAACCCTCTAAACACAGAAACCAAATTGTACCAATTTTAAAAGTGTACATCTAGACATTAAAGATCAAGCCTATGCAGTGCATTTGGAGTGTAAAATACAGAATGCATTTATCCTTAGAGAATGCTTTCATCAACTTTTTTTTTTTTATTTTAGGATTTTATTTATTTGAGAGAGAGCAAGTGAGAGAGTACAAGCAGGGAGAACAGCAGAAAGAGAGGGAAAAGCAGGCTCCTCACTGAGCAGGGAGCCAGATGTGGGGCTAGATCCCAGGACCCTGGGATTATGACCTAAGCCGAAGGCAAACGCTCAGTTGAGCCACCCAGGTGCCCCTTATCAACTAAATTTCTAACTATATTTTAAATAAACCTCCATCTAATTCTTAGCTTCTATAATTATTTTTCAAGTAATTCTTAATTATATTAACCTTTCTTAAAAGTTAAAAAAAAAAAAACAAGCACTGTGATCAGTAAGCAAACAGAATCAGTATTATTCACCTAGCACACTTTTTCTAAAAATAGATTTACAAACCTTTTTGACTTCTGTAATATTTGTTAGGTCAGGAAGGTTTTTCAGAGAAACTTGATGACCTTCTACCTGAGATATTAGGTCTTCTTGATTTATCTGTTTTTCTCCCTCTTCAATGTAAACAATTAGAACTGAAGTGTCTTTTGCTGAGATACCAAATTTTTTTAAAGCTTCTGAAATCTAAGGGAAAAAAAAAAAGACAAAAAATCAGTAGTTTCTGTGTTTGAGATATCTCCCCATCGGCCTCCTCCCTCTCTGGTCAGGTTCTTATTCTACATATCCTAATGGTTCTCTCCACCTACAGTGTTTCTGTTCAACAGCTCTTCCACCAGCTGCCAGCTCTGCCTCTAGACCACTCTCTGCTCACAGCTGCACCTCCTTCCTGTGCAGTCAAGCCCACTTCTTGGCATGGCACACAAACACCCACTCCCTCTAGTCCCTGGTGACCCTCCAGTCATGCATGCCTACCTTCTAGCCAGCCTGGACCGTGTGGGGGTCCCATCCTTTCACACTTTTTTCCTGTTCTCAAACTCTGTCCTCTGCCAGGAGTCCCCTCATCCTTCGCTGTCCAGTGCACACGGCACTCCTCGCTGCACCCTCTTACATGGGTTGCTTCTTTGCTGTTTCCCTAGGTTTGAATGATTATTCCCACTATACTATTTATCTTAGAGCATTTGGATTTCTGTCTTGTTTCCTGGCCTTCCTCAGGAGCGTATTTGTTTCTCCCTGGAACTGTAGCCAAAAGAGGAACAAGTCCAACTGATGTTTATTCAATTGATGACATTAGAATCTGGTTGTGTTAATAGTAGCAGTAATACTAAAGTTTCATCAGCAAAACTTCAGGTATTTTTTATGTGCCATAGATGGGCTGTCTTCAGCTCAGTAACTGGTTACTATCAGTATCTCAAACCTTGAACTCTGTGCTCCGGGTATGTGAGTGACGTGGTAAGGGCTGTTCCAGGTAACTGGCAAGCTCTGGCTATGGAAAAGACATGGATTCTATCCTCAAGAAGTTTATAGAGAGAGTAAAAGATGTGCACGATAACACACAAATATCCATGCTTACTGTTTTACCATTTAAATGTCTGTATTATTTAGAGGGATCTTCCTGACCCTATTATATGGTAAGAAAGACAGATAAAACTATCCTCATTTAATGTAGTTAAGCTTTTGTTTACTCAAATGTGAGAAGACTGCAAAGCTTATTTGTCTAGCAGGAGGCAGTGCTAAATCTCAACTCTGTCCAGAACTCTCTTAACGATTATTTTGGTTTGTTACCAACAAAAGGCTTATAGGAGTTTAGCCTCCAACCCAACACTAGGGAACACCCATTATCATGACAAAGCTAACAGAAATAAAATGAAATACATATTAATTACATTGTTATTTGGGGAAAGGTTGAAAATAATTTCAGTTGATAGAGTTCTTGTCTTCATTTTTCCTAGTTTGTAGAGATGAACTGCTTTGTTTGCTGCAACAAGTATCTGAAATGGATCGACAATCTACCAAAGAGAACAAAAAGAATTACACATGGAGAATCTGAAGCATCCTGGAGATACATGTCTTATCTTTTGGTAACTCCAATGTCAGGCTGTTTTAGTCATCACAATTTCTATGGACTATGTTTTCAAAATTACTGGGTGTTCGGAAAAATAGAATTTTAAAGCTGCAAGACAAATAGTAAAAAAAGTTTTAAATAACATTTATTGAGGACTAATATCATGGGAAAAGCCATATTCTAAATATTTTACGTGTATTATTTTAATTCTTAAAACTATCCTATGAAATCAGTATTATTATCCATGTGCAGTAGATGAGGAAACCAAAGCAAAGACTGTATGGGCTTAAATCCTAGCTCTGTCATTTATCACCAAGGGGACTTGGGCAAATTGCTTAATTTCATCTGTTAGATGCAGATAGTCATAGTAGTTACTTCACAAGGTTGTTGTGAAAATTGAATGAGTTGGTATAGAGAAGGCACTTAGAACAATGGCAGGGGGATCCCTGGGTGGCGCAGCGGTTTGGCGCCTGCCTTTGGCCCAGGGCGCGATCCTGGAGACCCGGGATCGAATCCCACGTCGGGCTCCCGGTGCATGGAGCCTGCTTCTCCCTCTGCCTGTGTCTCTGCCTCTCTCTCTCTCTCTCTCTCTCTGTGTGTGTGACTATCATAAATAAATAAAAAATTAAAAAAAAAAAAAGAACAATGGCAGGAACAGAGTAATAAGCATTCTCTAAAGGTCAGCCATCATTTGCTCCAAGTCCTAAGTAGCAGAGCTGGGATTAAATCCTGCTGCCATGATTCCCCAGTGTGTGCTCCTAACCACAATGCATGCCTCTTGTGAAGAGATCTTTTTTTTTTTCTTTTTTCTTTTTTTTTTAAACTAACATCTTTTTAAATTCTTTATTTACTTTTAATATTCAATTTTGTTTACATATACTGCATTATTAGTTTCAGGGGTAGAACTTAGTGATTCATCGTTGCATATAACACCCAGTGCTCATTACATCAAGTGCCCTCCTTAATGCCCAGCACCCATCTAGCCTATTCCCTACCCACCTCCCTCCAGCAACCTTCAGTTTGTTTCCTAGAGTTCCTAGAGGAAGTTCAGTTGGCTTCCTCTCTATGTTCATCCTATTTTATTTTTCCTTCCCTTCCCCTATGTTCATGTTTTGTTTTTTAAATTACATGTATGAATGAAATCATATGGTATTTGTCTTTGACAGAATTGTTTCACTTAACATAATACCCTCTAGTTCCACCCACATTGCTACAAATGGCAAGAAAGATTTCATTCTTTTTGATGGCTGAGTAATATTCTATTGTGTATATACCACATCTCCCTTATCTGTGTATGGACATCTCATCTCTTCCCACATTTTGACTGCTGCTATAAACATTGGGGTGCAGGTGCCCCTTTGAATCCTGTCCAGAAATTTTTCTAGTTCAGATGAGAAGATGAAGATCCAGGCATTGTTGTTACACCAGAGCCAGACCACAACCTTTCATATCTCCTGAGGAAGGTCCTGGCACTTTGGCTTCTACTGAATGTTAAATTCAAGGCTGGCCTAGTCTGACTCCACAACTTGGACAAGAAACTTTACCCAAAGATGACAATTTTAGGCTAACCTAAAAATTAACATATTCTTAAATGCCTCATTATAGTTCCTCTATTCTCACTTGTACTTACCACCTTAGGGTTTATTAATGAACCATCAATAGCACCTTCCATGGCCTTTTTTCTCAAATCTCCAGCATTTTTTACATCTTTAAATAATAGAAGGGTCACCCTGCATTCAGGAAATAGGTCCAGCTGATGTGTTAACTGCATTTCATAGACAGGCAGGATTCTATTTGCATAAAACCAAAAAGACCAAAAGACTTCATTTGTTTAAAAGTTAACATTATAATTCTCTAAAAAATATCCTTGCTAACAAATAAAAATTATTTTAATAATGACAAAACTATTAAACTAGAAGAATCCATCCCAGAAAGCATATCTGGCATTCTCATGAGATGTTGTCTTCCTACCTCGCTGAGTTGTTTCTAGCTTCCTTTTCCATTCCTCAGAAAGAATCAAGGCTGTACAGGTCTCCTGCTTGTACAGACAGGATCTGATGCATGGCTGAGGGGCAACTTCTCTAACAGACAAGTAGAAGCAGAATGTTAGGAATTTTTTAGAACACAGGTTACTTATGGTATTAATGAAACCTCACTCCAGCTTAGCCTTTTTAGCTTTCTGGTCTTACCATTTTATGTATATTTTAAGCAGAACCTAGACACAAATATTAAGAAAATGATTTTATTGAAGAAAGGATGACACTTGATTCAAAGATACTCATTTTACACATGACATTTAAGCAGAGAGGGTATAATTACTAAAAAATCAGTACTAGCCCTTTCTTAGATTAATAAGGACAAAGACCTAAAGAAACAGATGACAAGAACTTGACTAACTAGAAAGACAACCATATTCTCGAAAAACTAAGTATTGCAAAAATCTGACTTTTAAAACAATTTCAGTCTTAGATATTTTGGTGAGGATTTATAATGATAAATTCATTTTATCCTTTTACTTGGTAGGCTCCATTTCTAGGACTGTTTTCCAGGAATAATTTAAAAACCTGAAAATTTATGTAATTAGATGTCCTTCTCATCATCTTAATAGCAAAAAATTGAAAACAAACTACGTAACTGGGCAGCCCGGGTGGTTCAGCGGCTCAGCCCCACCTTTGGCCCAGGGCGTGATCCTGGAAACCCCGGACTGAGTCCCATGTCAGGCTCCCTGCATGGAGCCTGCTTCTCCCTCTGCCTGTGTCTGTGTCTCTCATGAATGAATGAATGAATGAATGAATAATTTTTTTAAAGGACATTGAGTAAAAACATCTGAGTGAAAAACAAAACATAAAATGTAGCATAAATAGTGGGCTTCTCCAAAAAGTGTATAAAAATTACTGAAAGGAAACTACACCAAAGAGTTATCTCTGACTTGGGAGAATTACATGACTTTTTGTTGGGAAAAAAACAGTATATGTGAATAATGTCCTGGCACACGGTAATTCAGTCTTTATTGGCATGGTCATGTCCAGCAGGGGGAAAAAAAAAGAAGATACCGAAACATAAAACGAATATACTCCCAATTACACAAAAAAAAGATGCACACGGAAATCAAAAACATGAAACAGACCAAATTATGGCCATCTTGGGTGGTAGGATCATTAATTTTTATCTTCTTAAAAAAATGGGAAAAAATGTGGCTTCTGAATCTTCTACAGTGACCACACAATATAGGAATACGTATAATCATGGAAAACACCTGTTCGCCGTTTATGGGTTTACACTAAGGAAAAAAGGACCCCTAGCAAAAGTCAAAATATAACTCGGAATCGCCGCTGGGCGCCTGCCTCTCGCTCCACCCCAACAGCTACCCCAGAGCGCCGACGACGCGACCTCTCAGGTATCCGCCGCGCCCCGCCGCGCCCCGCCCCGCCCGCTTCCCGCCAATACCCAGCGCGTCCAGCCGGGCGGCAGCCGCGCTCTCCCACAGCGGGGCGCCCCCCGTCCCACGCGCCCGCGGCAGGAGCAGCGAGCCTCTCTCTCCACAGAAACCACAGCGGGTCCTTCCGCCGCTCGAGGTCTAAAGCCCTCAGACCCTCCGCCGGGGAAGCCTCTCCCTCCTCCGCTCGCAGGCGCATGCGTCCCGCGCCCGCGCTGCGGCCTCCCCAGCTTCAAGGCTCTGCCCGCCGACCGGGAGAACTCCGACTCCTTCCTCTTTCCCTTCAGCCCGCCGCGAAGAATCCATTTACCTGCGTGACCCGGGCCCAGGTCCCTCTTAGTAGCGCTCCTCGGTCCTTTCGGGACGTCAGCGAGGGGGGCGGCCGTCCCCGCCGAGCGGCGTCCCCGCCCCTAGCCCCCTCCGGCCAGGCCCGCCGGGACCCACAGCGCGCGCGCCCCGGGTCCGTCCGGAAGACCTTCCCCTCGGAAACAGCTCTCGCTTTCCGGAAGCCGGGGCCCGTCCTTCACTTCCGGCGACGGGGACGCTGAGGTCTCCTTGTCTCCCACGTCGGTTTCCTCCGAGGCAAAGAGCAGCGTTGGCCAGGATGACGTCTCCGCTACAGTCCTCTTCGGGGCCGGCGGGACTGGTTCCCTTCTTGCACTCGGTGCGGTCATTTGGGGACGACCTCCTCGACTGGACCCGATTTGCCTCCAGTACTCAAGAGATAGGGGACAGGACGCTGATGAAAGCAGTCTCGCCCTGCATCTAGCAGGCTCAGAAATCTGTCATCCCTAAGTGTATCAGCCTCCAGGAGAGGACGTAACCCCCTAAATAGGCCGGAAAGAATTATTTTCCATGTTATGGCCGGGGCTCATCCTGGTCAGTATTTCTCCTTACACGGGAAAACAGGTAATTTACACAGGTAAATAACAAATATAAGTAAGTTGTTGGGAGAATGTGTAGTATGGAGAAAAGCAAGGAAAGGGAGGAATGCCTGGCCCTGGGGATTACTATTCAAATAGGATGGTTAAGATCTCACCTGAAAGGGCCCTTAGAACAGTAACTGGAGGAGGTCTGGAAGCAAGCTGTGTATCTGGGAGAACGGCCTTGAAGGCAGCAAAGAGTTCACAGGCTCTGAGACACCCAAGGCCTTCGCCTATTCAAGGGATAGCAAAGAGAACCGTGGGCTCGAACACAGTGGGAATATATAAGTGAAAAAGATACTCTGACCAAAGACTGGTATCCATCCACACTATATAAAGAATGCCTGTTCTGCATGTTGGCTAATTGAACACCAATAAAAAATAAATTTATTATTTAAAAAAATGAAAGCAAAAAAAATGCCTGTAACTCAGTAAAAACAATCTAATTAAGAATGGGTATCAAAAAAATGGGTGTCACATTTGAACACTTTACAAAAGATAGATGAATCAAGCCAATAAACACGAGATGTTTGACAGCATAAGTGCAAATTTAAAACGCAATGAGCTGCTAACTACACACCCACATAACTAGACTTTTAAAAACTAGTAGTATAAGTGTTGTCAAACACAACTGGTATTGCTGGCCTGAATTTTTAAAAATAGTAGAACTATAGAAAAGTTTAGCAATTTCTTTAAAAATCAAATGTGTATTTACTCTACTCAGCAATTTCATTCCTTGGCATTTATCCAGGAGAAATGAAAACATGCACAAAAGCCTGTTCATGAATGTTCACAGCAACCTTTCTCTTAATAGAAAAAAATGGGAAACAACCAATGCCCAACAACAGTCAATGGATAAACAAATTGTAGTAAATTCATACAAAAAAGTAATGTTATTGATACTTGCAACTGTATTTGCAACATGAATCTAAAAACATAGCAAAAAAAAGTGCAAGAACTAGAATTTAATATATTACTGTATGATCCCTTTTCTACAAAACTCTAGGAATTAAAATTTTATTTTACAGGGACTGGAAAGCAAAAGAGTGGTTGTTGGAAATGGAGTGGGAGACAAGTACTGGAAAGGACCCCAAGCAAATCTTTGTCATGAAGCCAGCGTTCTAGATCTTGATGTGGTGTTAATTACAAAAGGAGTGTGACTTTGTCAAAATTCATCTAACTACGCACTTTATATTTTATAGACTATAAATTATGCATCAATAAAGTTGATTAAAAATAGACTTTTTTTTTAAGTGGCTCAGTTTTTAGCAGCTTATTTGTAACCCCCCAAAGCTGGAAACAACTGAAATGTTCAAGTGAATGGATATACAAACTGTATATACATACAATGGACTACAAGTTGGCAATAAAAGGAACCAACTATTGTGGCATACAGTAACATGGATGAATCTCAAAATAATCATCCTGAATTTAAAAAGCCGGACATAAAAACAGTACATATTTTATGATTCTGCTTATATAAAGCAGATCAGTGATTGCTTAGGTAGGGGGCCTCAGGTGGAAAAGGGAATTACAAAACAACACAAGGAAACTTTGGGGGTAATAGATATGTTCTGTCTTAATTGTGGCAGTGGTTTCATGATTATATACATGTCAAGTATCAAACTGTACATTTAAAAACACAGTGTAGGGGATCCCTGGGTGGCTCAGTGGTTTGGCACCTGCCTTTGGCCCAGGGCGCGGTCCTGGAGTCCCGGGATCAAGTCTCGGGTCGGGCTCCCGGTGTGGAACCTGATCCTCCCTCTGCCTGTGTCCCTGCCTCTCTCTCTCTATCATGAATGAATGAATGAATGAATGAATAAATAAATAAATCTTTTTTAAAAATAGTAATAAAAAAAACAGTGTATCATGTTAATTATATATCAAACTTCTATTTATTTATTTTTTTGGAGATGGAGGTGGGGAGGGGTAGAAGGAGAGGGAGAGAGAATCTTAAGCAGGCTCCATGCCCAGCATTGAGCTTAACACACAGGGCTCGATCTCATGACCCTGAAATTCTGCCTCTCTATCATAAATGAATAAATAAAATCTTAAAAAGAAAATAACTTGGGCTTCAGTCAGTTTGGGGAATGCAGTAAGGTTTGCTGGGCAAGGCTGAAAATGGGAATATGGGCCAGGTGGCAGATGGCACCTTTGTAAGGAAGAGGGCATTGAGGGAATCAGTGACTGTGCTTGGAATCTGTGTTTCGTGTAAAAGGAGATATAGATGAAATAAATGCTAAGTAGTGACACAAGGTACCCTGTAGGAAAAGGAATGATTCATTAGGGGGTAGAGCTGGGAGAGAAGGCTTTACTGAGATGGGCTTCCAGAATGGGAGTGATTTGTTCAGAGACTGCAGCACCATCAGAGCCAAGGGAAAAAGCTGGAAGACAAAGACATGGTGGCGTAAATGTGACACAAGATACTCCAGGAATGGCCTGCACACTGTAGAATGGAGTAAAGTAGAGCAGAGGCTTTGAAAAGTCAGCTCGGAGTCAGATCACAGAAGGCCCGACAAGGAGTTGGAAGTGGGCTCTGAAGGCCAGAAGCCATCCAAAATTTCTAAGTCGGGACATAATTCTGGGGTAGTTGTTAGAATTCCATTAGAAAGGTAGTTCATGGGTAGCCCGGGTGGCTCAGCAGTTTAGCGCTGCTTTCAGCCCAGGGTGTGATCCTGGAGACCCAGGATCGAGTCCCACGTCAGGCTCCCTGCATGGAGCCTGCTTCTCCCTCTGCCTGTGTCTCTGTCTCTCTCTCTGTGTGTGTCTCTCATGAATAAACAAATAAAATCTTTAAAAAAAAAGAAAAGAAAAAGAAAGGTGGTTCATACAGGTTCCTACATAGGGCCTCCCTCCACAGTGGGAGTGTTTGTGGCTGATACTGCAAGATCAAATCATCAGTGAGGACACTCGACGGCCTTCACTTCTGGGACACAACATGTAATGGTCAAGCATGTCGGACTCAGAATAAATCCCAAACCCAACTTTATTGGCACCAGAGACTCATTCCACTGGCTGGACTGAACTCATATCTCTATCTATACTTCCTACCCAAACTGCCAATAAAGGAATTTTTACAGATTAAAAACTCACAAGACAATGAAGAGAGAGATCAAATGGTAGATGAGAGAGAGTGCAATAAAATTATCAAAGATGGCAACTGTCAGAATGGGGAAAAATAAAACTGCAGCAAAGGGAAAGTTAACAAAAAGCAAACTGCCTGACAACATTATTACAAATCGCCATGAGACCACCAGAGCTTCCATCAGTTTTGAGGGCCTCAATCTTAAGTATGAAAAGATAGGAAAAAAAAAAGAAAATAAAAGATGGGCAAAAGTCACCAGATATTTCAAGAATACCTCTAAGAGAGACAGGCATCAACAAACAAAAGGAAAATAGTTGATGCAGGAAACAGAAGAAACCTAAAAATACTGGTAACTTTGGAGAGAAAAAAGAGAATACATTCATTAAAAAAAAAAAAAAAAGTTGGGGACCCCTGGGTGGCTCAGCGGTTTGGCACCTGCCTTCGGCCCAGGGCATGATCCTGGAGTCCCGGGATCAAGTCCCACATCAGGCTTCCTGCCTGGGGCCGGCTTCTCCTCTGTGTCTCTGCCTCTCTCTTCTCTCTCTCTGTCTCTCATGAATAAATAAAATCTTAAAAAAAAAAAAAGTACTTGAAAAAAATAATATATTGAAGGGACATTCTCCTGATTTTATTTTTTTTTTTTAAGTATTTATTTACTCATGAGACACATGGAGAAAGAGAGAAGCAGAGACACAGAGAGAGAAGTAGGCTCTATGCAGGGAGCCTGATGTGGGACTCAATCCCAGGACTCTGAGATCATGCCCTGAGCCAAAGGCAGACACTCAACTGCTGAGCCACCTAGGCATCCCAAGTTCTCCTGATTTTAAAAAAAGAAAGGCCAAAAGGGTTAAAAATGGAAAATAAGAGAAAAATATATAATCAACTTAAAAGTACATTTCAAAAAAATATCCAATAATGGGATCCCTGGGTGGCTCAGCGGTTTAGCACCTGCCTTCGGCCCAGGGCGTGGTCCTGGAGTCCCGGGATCAAGTCCCACATCGGGCTGCCAGCATGGATCGTGCTTCTCCCTCTGCCTGTCTTTGCCTCTCTCTCTCTCTCTCTCTCTCTGTGTCTCTCATGAATAAATAAAATCTTTTAAAAAATCCCATATTCAACTAATAGAGGTTCCTGAAATGTAAAGAACAAAATTTCTCAGGACTGATGTACACAACTTGCCAGGATGAAAGGGCTAAGTATACAGCATTAAAAAACAACAACAACAACAACAAAAACACACTTTTAAACATATCATGAAATTTCTAGACATTTTAGATAAAGAAGATCCTAAAGCTTTTTTGGAGAGAAAAATTACAGGTCCCAAACAAAAGCCCAAGAATCATAATACCACAGGGTTCAAGAGCAACAACAAAATATGGAAAACAATGAATAAATGCATTTGAAAGTACCTACCTACAAGTCTGTAACCTAGCAAATTATCAGTGGAATTAAAGAATAAAGTATACCCATTTCACAAATGCAAAAGTCTTGAAAAATTTATACCTTGGAAAGCTAAGGAAGGATATACTCCACCAACCCGGGAAGTATACCATGAAAGCAGCCAGCTATGGGATCCAGGAAACAGACGAGGAATATAAGAAATGACCAGGGTGACAGTGAAGAGAAATCCCAGGGCAACAGCTACTCCCCAGGCATAGAGAACAATTAAGGTCCCTGTCATGGGCCGAGCTGTGCCGCTCCTGACCCCAGACAAATTCATGTTAAAGTCACCCTAACCCCCAGGACCTCAGAATGGGATTATATCTGGAGACAGGGTCTTGAAAGAGGTGATATGTTTAAAGGTCATAAGGGTGGGCACTAATCCAATATAACTGGTGTCCTTGTAAGAGGAAATCTGGACAGAGTCACAGATGGAAGACCACATAAGGACAAAGGGAGAAGATGGCCATCTATAAACACAGAAGACACCAACCCAGCCGACACCTTGAGCTCAGACGTCTAGCCTCCAGGACTCTAGAGAACATAAATTTCTCTTGTTTAAACTGCCCAGTCTGGTGCTTTAAGGCAGCCCTAGCACACTAACACAGCACCCAACCTGGAGGCAACCTAGAGGGCTCCAGAAGAGATTTCAAACAAAAAAGGATGTGTCTATCCTAACCATATGAAGAGAGATGTTACAGCAGTGTTGGTAATATCACAAATGGGAAAATCATCGAATGGCAAAATAAACATAGTATTTAAACATGGGAGACAAATACTAGAAGATAGTGCAAAAATATTTAGTATTATGGGAACCTGGGTGGCTCAGTCATATGTCCAACTCTTGATTTCGAGTTGTGAGATCAAGCTCCACCATAGGGCTTGGAGCTTGGCATGGAGTCTGCTTAAGATGCCCTTTCTCCCTCTCTCCCTCCCCCTCCCCCCTGATAGTAGAAAGATGATGAAAGAAAGAAAGAAAGAAAGAAAGAAAGAAAGAAAGAAAGAAAGAAAGAAAGAAAGAAAGGGTTTGCTTTTGGAGAGTGATAGCCAGGGGTAGGATTGGGGGGGACCTATTCCTTTCTACTGTACTCTCAGTAGAACTATTTGAATTTTAAACTACTCATGTGTTCTTTAAATAAAAATGAAAACTTTAAAGTTAAAAAGGCTACTGAAGACCTTTAAAAGAGTGAGTGTCACTGGTTTCTTTAGCCAGAACTTTAACGGTATGGTGGCAGCAGAAGCCAGAACTCTAGTGTGGGGAAGAATAAATGAGATATGAGATAGCAAAAGGAGCCTAGTTTTTTAACAAACCATGTTGAAAACTGAAATGGGAAAGGGACAGAGGGGACAACAGGGTCACATTTTCTGAAGGTAGCAGTACTTATAATGATGGCACTTCTGCTGGCAATGTCCTCCTTAGAATCTGCTTGCCAACGAAAACTATCAGAGTAGCTGGATTCCCATGCCTGCCCCTGCTTGTTCTTTTATGCCTCACCAGTTGTCTGGCTCCAATTTTAGTCCATGTGAGCCTTCACGGTGTATCCTGGTGGACAATTCCACAAGAGCAGCCTTTCAGCAAGAACTTCTGTATCTGTTACATGAGCCATTCCTCAGACAAAAAGTAGCTACTTGACTGAGCTAACTAGACACAGACCAGGGGACTGGTTGAACTAGAGCACCTGCTTAGGGTCCAGTTCCACATGTTCATGTGGAAAAGAGGATAATGAAAATACCTATCGCATGCAGTATGAGAAATTCTGGGATACAAATCTTCAAAGTCAGAGGCTTTTAAAAAAAAATGAAGCCAAGTTGCCTGAGTATTCATCAAATATCTACAGAAAAGGTAACTGAGAAGTCAAGATCAAGGCACCCTTCTACTGTGAGGCAAGTGGAAAAAGATCCCAAGCAGGTTATGTTCAACAGAGAAGCAATAAAACAAAGAGCCATGCTTGTCCACAAGTCTTCCAGATATCCCAGGTTTTAAATGTTGTATCCTACTCCGTTCATTAAAGAATTTTTTTTTTAAAAAAGATTTTACTTATTTTTTTTTTAAATTTTTTTTTATTTTTTTATTTTATGATAGTCACACAGAGAGAGAGAGAGGCAGAGACACAGGCAGTGGGAGAAGCAGGCTCCATGCACCGGGAGCCCGACGTGGGATTCGATCCCGGGTCTCCAGGATCGCGCCCTGGGCCAAAGGCAGGCGCCAAACCGCTGCGCCACCCAGGGATCCCCATTAAAGAATTTTTGTAGTCTATAAAAGTTTTCAAGTTTTCTGAATAGTTCTACCCAATTGATAACAATTACCCTGCCAGGTAAATTAAGCAGCATTTTGGTTTATCGATCAGTTTCTCTTGCCCAACAGACAATCAATTACCTAAATGTTTATCCATTCCTGTGTCAGACGGCACATATCTGATAATTCAGTGAAAGCAGATAGATCCCACAAGAGACTGCCAAAGAAAGAAACGTCTAATCACAAAAATACAATTACTAATTTCAAATAGTGATTAGATTTTAAGGAGATTGTTTCTTAGATAGATTTTAATAGAAATCTTGAACAGTCAGGAGAGAAAAAGATAGCCTTAGTGACTGGGTCAATAAAAGAACATGACAAAAACACCAGAAATTTCCATACATACACTCCTCCTATCACACATCTAGTCAGAAAGAAATACATAGATAAGGAAAACAGAATTTTTAAAAAATAATTTACACGGGAAATTCTTTATTATATTATCAGTTCTACAATACCAGCTTCCTTAAAAAAATTTAAGACTGGATGACAGATTATTTCCTTTACTGTTGCAAATACTGTAAATTTATCAGCAAAGAGGTAAGTATCAATGTCATTTTTCTTTAAGCATGAACACATAAGGGAGCAATAAAATAGATTATAAACCTCATTTGGCCTGATCTTATACGAAGCCACTCCAGCTGTCTTCAGTCCTGCTCTGCCTACAGGAAGATTTCCAGGACAGGTTTGTGTCATTCGGTCCACCCACAATAGGTTGGATAGGACAGTCTGTAATAACTGCCAGGATACCACATTGCATTCTGGGCTCCTTGACTGGCATTTGGCTTTACGTTCCAAGAGTACCTCCTTTGTGAATAGTCCTCTCCAGCGGGACCAGGAGGAGGGATATGGCCTCTCTGGTAAACATTCTGATTCTGTGAAAATTTTCTTAAAGAAAACAGGAAGTAATGAATTATTATTAGTTTTAATAAAATATATAATAAGCTTTATAAAATAATACACAGACACTCTGGTTCTCCTGCTTTCTACTTGTATAACCTTAGCAGATAAATTGCTTCATCTCTGGATTTCTCAGTGCTTTATAAAGTGAAAGTAATACCTTCCATCTTCAGGGGTTGTTTTCAAGATAAACTGAGATAACGTATTTAAGTAACCTACCATGACACCTTGACACCTTGGCACATGGTAGCTTCCCGAGAACCATTCCACCTTTCCCTACAGAGATCAATGCCCACGCTTTTCTAATCAAATACTTTCTCCCCAAGTCTGGTAGAGTTGTCATGAGACAGAACAAGGTATTCATTTTTAAAAACAGAAAGCTGTTTTCACTTTATAAATAATTACATATATAAATTAGCTATAAAGTGTAAAAGTCCTAGTAATAATTATACACACAACAAATTTGGAAAATTAAGATTGAAGTTTAATTGTTCCAAAAAGATCAGTAAATTTAATGTATCATACTGGATTTGTACTTTCTCTATAATTTATATTTACTCTTTAAATAACAACCCTCCTTAATCTGAAAACTTTACCACTACTAATGTAGCCTAAGAACACATCCTTTGTGTAATGTTCCTTTGTGGTAATCACATCAAATTGTTGGCTTAAACTAGGTTTAGAGTCAATGAAATTTTCTAAGTCCTTTTCCCAAATGCCTCTGAAAAGTCACATATTCCCCATCCTCTTCTTGATTCTCCAGCTCTAAATGCAAAATAGGAGCAACTGATACCTCCTGGTTGACACTGATGAGCTAGAAAACATCAATTCTCACCATTCTCATGTGTTTGCCACATGAGATTTATATCACTTATGATATAAATTTCTATTTCAATTCTAGAAAAGGGGACAACAGAGATACCTTACTGACTGCTGCAAATCTTGGATCTGGCTGTGGAAATGCCGAGAAGGTACTGGGTAACCTTGGGTCTGATGTAGGTTATACCAATGTCCTTGGTTAACAGATTTAATAGTGGTGTGGACTGGTTCCATCATATGTGTTGTGTCTTCAAAACCACTTGATCTGGATATACTGGAATCCCAATTCCTCAAAGAGAACATTTCCACACAGTTTATTACTGGTTTCCAAATTCTGTAGCCAATTTAGTAACAATATTTTGGCCCATGAAAATAATAATTCTATCCTCCCCCGCCTCGTTTGTTTAGGTTTCCCCGACCAAGTAAGTAAGCTACAAGAAAAATGGATGGGTACAACTTAAAGGATCTAAAAACAGATCTCCCTAACCACATGTCTCACATATAAAATGCAACTTACCTTCTGATGGGACCTTTCTGAAGGTCTTCAATGTAGTTTTGTCTTTCTAAGCAATGTCCGCGGCACCTATTGAATACTGAAGAGTGGGTGAACTGTTAGAAATCACTGTACAAAAAGCAAATCTTCCCAGAGAAAGCAGATCAAAGCTGAAATCCACTAATTATTCAGACCCTTACACCTTACTTTTTCCAAATACATCCCTTTATAAACTTTTGGCAAAATTGTATTATGTCAGAACAAATGAATTACAAACATTTCTTTTCTCCAAAATTTGAGAAACTCATCTACATTTCCACCTTCAACTTTTATAAAAAGGAAAAAAGAGTGACAACCCTTATACTTACATTCAATTGCATCATCTGGCCTCATGCCTTGTACATCAATCAAATATCTAATAAAACAACATAATTCATGTCACATATTATGAAAAGAAAAAAAATAAAGCTTTTTTCAAAAAAGATCCAATTTTACTTACAAATACATGTATAAAAAATCCTAGGAAAATATCAACACATCTAATCCAACAATTATTAAAGAATGATATACCATGACCATAAATAGGCTTTTATTCCAAGGATGCAATGAAGACCCAACTTTAAGCACATCTATTCATACAATTATTTACCTTAATACAACAATTTAGTTAATAAACTAAAGAGAAGAAAATACAGGACCAAACTGGAAGACATTAAAAAGGTATCCGATAAAATATAACAGTCATTTTTGATCTAAGTGGTTTTTATACTAGAAACAGGAGACTTACTTAATTTGGCAGAATATTTACCAGGAACCAACAAATAGCGAAAGAGAAATTGGGAAAAATATTAACATCAAATCTAAACAACACTATCTAACCAACTGTATGGGCTAGAAGCTTAGGAGTCACCATTACCACCAGCCATTTCGCCCTCAACCTCATCTTCAACCCACCACCAATTCCTAACAACAAGCACCTCTAGAATATGTTCATATCTTTCTACCCAAATGACCACACTTTGGTCCGAGTTACCATCATGCCTTGATTTCTACAAAAGCCTAATTTATCTCCTTGCTTCTACTCTTTCCTCCCCTGCAGTATATTCTCCAATTAGGAGCAAAATGATGGCTTGAAAATACAAATTTGATTGTTCTACAAACTCACCCTTAAAAAAAAGTTCAATGGTTTTCAATTACTCTTAAGATAAAGTCTCAACACAGACCTCATGATCTAGCTCCTCCCCATACTTCTAGCTCCACTTTTAACTTTTTTTTTTTTTTAAGTAATCTCTCTGCACAACATTGGGCTCAAACTCAAGACCCTGAGATCAAGAGTCACATGCCCTTCTGACTGAGAAAGCCAGGTGCTCCTCCAAATCCATTTTAAACCTTTTTAAGTAATCTCAAAAAAAAAAAAAAAAAGTAATCTATACACCCAACAGGAGGCTCAAACTCATGACCCTGAGGTCAAGAGTCACATGCTCTTCTGATCAGCCAGCCAAGCACTTGCACCTCTCCCTCAACATTTTTTCCCCCTAACTTTTCAGCTCCACTTTAACACCATACTTCTCATGGCCCACTCTCCCTGGCTCATTTCTCCAATGAGTTTATGTTTTTTCCTATTATCAGTCTCTACTATTCCTTATGCCCAGAATTCTCTCCCCAGTGTCTAACAGATACCTCATCATCCTTCAGGTATCGGCCCAAACATCTCCAGAGAAACACTCTGAAATCTCCATGTCAAATCCTCCCTCTTAATATGCTCTCATGTACCATGCTTCTCTCCTTGGCAGTTGTCAGAGCTGTAATTTTACACACATTTGTGTGGTTCTTGAACATCTATTCTTTCTGTAGACTGTTAAGGGTTCATAAAGGGCAAGTGAAGTCTTCCTGCTAGCACCCAGCACAGTGCTTACACAATAACAGATTCTTGGTAAGTATTTTCTGAATGAACAAATATAAATCAGTACAGTGTAGCAAAGTCCACAAAAAAATGACATCAATTCTTTGATTCAGAAATCCATTCTGAGTGAAATTTTCTGAGAAAATAGCATATGTATTCAAATATGTTCAAACAGGAATGTTAATTGATTCAATGTTTTACAATATTAAAAACTTCTGACTTTTATGTTTATCAGGAAACAGAGGAACAATACAGTTTTTAAAAAAGAATGAGGTTTCCAAATACTTTCACAGGAAGATGTCCATCATATATTAAATTATAAAACAGGATGTCTAAATAACACACCATTGTATCTGTCTGCTTTTTTAAGCCTGAAAAAATACGTACTAAATTATTATGGTGGTAATCTTAGGGTGGGGACTGCTCTATTTCATACATTTCAATACTGACTCCATTTTTTGCAACTAGGTTACACTACTATTGTAAACAAAACAACTTAAACATTATCTTTCTCTTGGGGTTGGTAACTCACCTGCAGATGAGATAGCCAGTCCTGTTTAAACCATGGGTACAATGAACACCAATAAGTTTGTCTAAAAAACAAGGAACGGAGTTAAATAAGTGAAGCAGATATGTCAAAAACAAATTCTACAATTTTCCTCAGAGTACCGTTTATTAGTTGCCACAAACACTACCACTACCCTGAAAAGGAATAACTAGTGAGGAGTGCATATTTTCGAAACATACTATACGGGGCAGCCCGGGTGGCTCAGCAGTTTAGCGCCGCCTTCAGCCCAGGGCATGATCCTGGAGACCCGGGATCGAGTCCCACGTTGGGCTCCCTGCATGGAGCCTGCTTTTCCTTCTGCCTGTGTCTCTGCCTCTGTGTGTGTGTGTGTCTCTCATGAGTAAATAAATAAAATCTTAAAAAAGAAAGAAAGAAAGAAAGAAAGAAAGAAAGAAAGAAAGAAAGAAAGAAAGAAAGAAAGAAAGAAAGAAAGAAAGATACTATATAAAGAATTATCTAACATAAAGTCGAAATTCACCACCTCTGAGAAATTCTGCATAGCCCCTATTAGATGTAATTGTGTAAACTGGAGAAAGCCTGGTCAGTTACTAACAGCTAAAATGCCACTGAGACAAACCCAGTTTCTTCATACAGAATGCCCATCGGTAACTGATTTATAGAAAATGGAAGCCAAAAAAAACAGGCTTGAAGAATGAAACTTGTTTTTGAGTAAAACAAATTGAATGCCTTTACTTTGGATACTCAATATGAAAGAGAACAGTTTCTATGGGACTCATGAGTTCCCTCAGCACTTCCATTCCTTCTCTCACTTGGTGATCCCCACACAAACCAGAGTCTATGTGCCCGTGAAGCACTCGGGTAAGCAGTGTTATTCATATTTTATGATGAAAAAGTGAGAATTGGAGATGTAAGCCCAAGCTGCACAGCAGCCAACAGAACAAAGACTAGAATGAAGTTTAAAATTTTTCCAACTGTGCCATAGTATTTCTTAATTCATCCTTTAAAAAATTATGTGAGAAATTAAAAACAATCACATGTAGTTGATCTTTGCAAAATGTATGTCTGTAACTAGATGGTGTCTGGTAGGAAAGCACTCGCAGGGTTGCTCCCTTAAAAATCTTCATTTAGCATACAATAGAGCCCAAACTATTAGCACAGCACTTAGAACTCTTTATAAACGGTATCATCAATTTCTCCAACTGAACTGTATGTCCACAACAACTCAAACTAGGATTTACAGAGACCTCCATGATCTACCTCCTGCCCCTGCCAACCTCTCAGATCCCATTTTCTACTGCTCTGATCTCACATAAATTCTCCACTCTGGCTACACTAGCCTCCTTACTATTCCTCAAACATGCCGAGCATAGTCATGCCTCACAGGCTTTGCACCTACTATTCCCTCTCCTTTGAACACTCTGTCCCCCAAACTCTGCAGATATCCAATGGTTCATCACTTCTTTTAAGGCTCTACTCAAATGACATCTTAATAGAGAGGCCTTCCCTGATTACCCCCATATGTCCCCTCCCTTCTGAATCCTCTTTATTACTCCCCAAAGCATGTATGACTATCTGACATTTCCTATAGTTACTTATTCATCCCTCTCCTCCACCAGGGTGCAGAGTATAAAAGGACAAGAACTTACTTCTGTTACTGCTTCCTAGAACAGTGCCTTTAACTTAAAAAGTGACCTTTAAATGCTTGTTGAAAATGAACATATGAATTCTACGCCCTTTCATACTATCCTCTAGTCACATCAGAGGCTTCCGCTCCCTGGTACAAGTTCAAGCCCTGTGCCTCTTGTACTTATTCCCAAAACTCAGACATTCTCTTTCTCATTCTGGCAAAATTCTCTTCTCCACTGCCCAGCTCAAATGCTGTCTCCCCAGGCAGGCTTCCCTCAACCTCTCCTTCATGTTCCTGTTGCACTTAGTTCTTTTATTCTAATTAGGCCACTATCTTAGAGTTAGCACACATTTATCTTCCTGGGTAACTGTAGGTTTCTAAGGAATAGAGACTGCTTTCACCCTGTATCCCCGAGCTCTACCAAGTCCAAAAGCCTCTCAGCATTTATTGAATCAACGTATTTTCTGAGTTTCTAGCAGTTCTAAGGAGTGGACAGTAGAGCATCACCCTCTTCATCAGGGAGCCTGGAATCTGTGGGAGGGGCTTAGATCAGAGGTAGCCAAAGTGGATCATAAGCAAGGTCCCAGGACTACCAGGAGAGCTCAATACGGTAGAACATGGGAACAAACAAGATTTACAGACCTGCTCATGTGCACTCATATGAATCTTCTAGCCCTCACAGAACAGATGGAATACTGTAGGGCAGCTGCACACAGAGGAGCCTGGAAGCAGTGAGAAGGCTGGCAGCTGCACCCTAATATCTTACGAGGTAATGTTTCTGAGACAAATTAATACAAATCAAATAATTTACCCTGTCCATGGATGACGTGTTTGTCAGAAGCAAGGCCAAGCCTCTTAAGTTTTAAAGTTAAAGTAGAGGGAAGATCAGGGAACAGGGCTTAAGATATTTAAGAGCAAGTGTCTGCATTAGGCAACCATGTTATATATAGTTTGAAAATTTATCTTAAAATTCCTGTCTTTTTCTCTCTCACCTCCCATCCCCTATCTTCCCACCTCCATCTCTATTTTTTCTCCTCTAGTCCCTGTTTGTGTGTGTGTATATGGAATATATGCTCTCTATTTAACACAGTATACACTCCTCAAGCTAAATTTAGAAAGAGAACAAAATGAACATTTGGTTCTGTAGGTCAGTGGCTTTCCAAAGACAAAAGATTCCTTAATCTTAAAATATAGCAAATACCAGATTCTTTCTGATAGCCAGATGCCAGAAATAGGTAAGTGGATTCTTAAAATTCAGAAGCTAATAGCTTAGTAAGATCTATTTCCCACAGAGTGGTATATCTTAAAGCAGGAACAAGAAATGAGAGCTTTTTAAACTCCTTTATGTCTGAATGACAGGTGGTAGTGTCCTTCTGCATTTGTATCCAAAATGGAAAACAGCAGGAATATCTTAAATGCACATGATGAGGAGGCCACTCCACTGGTGCACCTTGGTTTGCTCTGCTTCTAGGGCTCTGTCTCCAAACCTTTTCCTTTTATTGTCTCTTATATATGCTAAGACCTTGAGATCTTTTTTTCTTGTTTTCTCAGCAGAGGGTCACACAAGCCATGCTTTCCATATCCTTTGACCCAAAACCCTGACATCCTTAACCTTTTCCCCTACCTCTCACCTCTGAACCAATAAATAAGACAAAAAAAGTTTTTATTATATATTTCCCAAATATCTTTAAAAAGATATGAGGATGCTGGATAGCCTGGTGGTTGAGCATCTGCCTTCGGCTCAGGGCATGATCCTGTAGTCCCGGGATCGAGTCCCACATCAGGTTCACTGCATGGAACCTGCTTCTCCCTCTGCCTATGTCTCTGCTTCTCTTTGTCTGTGTTTCTCATGAATAAATAAATAAAAATCTTTAAAAATAAATAAAAATAGATGAGGAGGCTAGTTCATACTTCTCATTAAAACCACTTTTTAAACTAAATTGTTTGTGACCATAAAAGGAAAAACACCTTACTCTATCTGCACCATCTGACATTTCTACCTTTATATTATCAAACACAATAGGCCTAATTGCTAAAACTATTAAAAATACTAAAAATCCCAACCCCATTCAAAATGCACACCTAAGTTCATGTAAGAGGAAAGAAAACAACAATAAACTCACCATTGTCTGTATTTTCTTTTAAAAACTCATTAACAGCACATTTGAATTTAAAAATAGTGTCATCATCAGGCACCTGATGCCCAATTGTATAAATTTTTAAGTGAGGAATAGTTTCTGGTAAGTCCTATAAGGCAAAACCATGAAAATGTGTTATTATTTCATTTGTAAGGAAAGAATTCAGAGACCTAATAATCAATGACAAAGTGTGGATCTTATCTGGATTTAATTCAACTCTTAAAAAACATTTTCTAACACATTTAGAAGACAACTGAAATTTGACCACTGACTGGATATTTAATGTTATATAATTATAGTAAAAAATAAAAGTCCTATATTTTAAATATATATACCAAGAAAGTACAGGTGAAATTATATGATATATGGGATATGCTTCAAAATAATATGGGGGGATCCCTGGGTGGTGCAGCGGTTTAGCGCCTGCCTTTGGCCCAGGGCGCGATCCTGGAGACCCGGGATCGAGTCCCACGTCGGGCTCCCGGTGCATGGAGCCTGCTTCTCCCTCTGCCTGTGTCTCTGCCTCTCTCTTTCTCTCTCTCCCTGTGTGACTATCATAAATAAATAAAAATTAAAAAAAAAAACAAACAAAAAAAAACAAAAAAAAAAAAAAAACAAAATAATATGGAATGGGGTGAAGCCAGTAAGTATAGAGATGAAACACAAGAGCTGTCAATTAATAAAGATTAAAGTTGCATAAGTTCATGGGTGTACAAAGATTACCCACAGTATTATGTCTACCTCTGTGTATATTTAAAATTTGTGATAATTGTTTGATGGTTTCTCAAAGGTTTCTAAACATAGAACTACCATATGACCCAATAACTCCACTCCTACCTATACATCTCTAAGAGCTAAAAGCAGGGATCTGACCCAATATTGGTACACCAATGTTCAGAGCAGCATTGTTCACAGTAGCCAAAAGGTGGAAACAACTCAAGTGTCCATCAAAGGTGAATGGATAAACAAAATATGGAATATACACACAATGGAATATTACTCAGGCATAAAAAGGAATGACATTTTGTTACATGGATGAATCCTGAAAACATTAGTTAGTGAAGTCCAACACAGAAGGACAAATATTCTATGATTCCACTTAAATGAAGTACCTAGAACAGTCAAATTCACAGAGACAGAAACTGGCACAGAGGCTACCGTGGCAGGGAGAGGAAGTAAGATTATTTGTTTAATGAATGTTGTTTTTGTTTAGAATGATGAAAAAGTTTCGGTTAGAGACGATAATGGTTATGCAACAATCAATGTGGACGTATTTAATGCCACAGAACTGTACACTTACAAATGGTTAAGATATTTATGTACATTTGACCACAATAAACTAAAACAAGAGGAATAACTGAGTTCAAGTGTCAATTCTCTTTTTGAGACTTAGTTTTATCATCTATAAAATTTGCAACTGTAATCATCTATCCTGAGTCTAGCGCAGAGTAAGCACTCAGCAGGAGATAGCAGTACTACTAGTACTTCATCAGTAAAGGACTGTTGTATTAATTAAGTTAATGCAGGGAAAAGTAGTTTTTAAATAGCAAACTGCTTTACAAATATTAATAAACATTAGGCATTATTTGTTGTCCAAGAAAACAAAATTGGCCAGAAGGATAATTCCCTCCCACTGAGAGGCCACATAGGCCAACAGATTATATATTGCGAAAAGAAAAGCATTAGGTTTAAAGAACAGCTGTCTTTTACCATGATGCTCACATGCTCAGGCCAACTGCTTAAAATAAGTGCTAAAGACATAATGGATATTCATTTCGTTCCTTTTAGGCTGCTACTATTCTTACTGAAAGTTTATTTTCAAAATACGGAACATGGAAGCTTACAGAATTTCTTTAGCACATACAGAGCCGACCGCCCAATATTACATTTTAATTCATTCTTTAACCTCATTTTGACATACTAATTAAAAATAGGTACTTTAAAAAAAAAAAGAAATAGGTACTTAAGGAAACCACTAAGTTCCCTTTTTGAACTATTACCCATGGAAAAAAGCCTTAGCATATGATGATAACTACTGATACTACACATTATTATAGTATCAGTCAGTAGGTTCTTTTCAGTGAAGGGTTCCAATTACCTCTGGTTTATAATAGCGGTGAGTATAAGTTAAATCAATAATCAGCCCAAGTTCTTCATTCTGGTTTTGGATTTTGTTAAAAAGATCCAACGGTGAAAAACGTTCTTCTGGAGCAAGATTCTTTTCAAAACTCTGTTAGAGAGAATGAAATAAGAGCAAGTGTGTGCTTAAAAGCCATTTATTCAAGCCTTGTGATGCCAACACACAAGGAGATTCAAAGGAAAGTTTCCCCTCTGCTGGGAATTTACAAGTTATGTTACAATCCTTTCTTCTAGAAATGAGAAGGAAGAAAATAAGCTCACTTCTATGCATTTATTTCTATGTTTGTGTTATGTTCATCTCCTAACCAGACTCTAAGTCCCAGAATGCAGGGACCGTATCAGTCCTGTCTACCACTGTATCTCCAGCTCCACGCGGAATGCCTATAAATAGGTACTTCTAAATACTTCTTAAATACATATATATATGAAGGGTGGCTTTTATTGCTAAACATTCTTTTACATATTTGGCTTCTTTATATACTCCGCTCATTGATCTGTGATGTTATTCAAATGCCAGCAACACACTTTAATAAAAAAAAAATTAATAGACTAGTTTTTAGAGCAGTTCTAGGTTCAAAACAAAACCGAACAGAAAGCAGGGTTTCCCCTTATACCCTCTCTTTTTAGCCCATCCCCCTCATTTTCCTCCATCAACATTCCACACCACTGTGGTCCATTTGTTAGAATCAATGAACCAGCACTGATACATCATTTTCAAAGTCCACAGTCTATGTTACAAATCACTTTGTATTGTACATTCTATGGGTTTTGACCAATGTATAATGACATATATTTACTCTTATGGTATTATACAGAATAGTTTCATTGCCCTAAAAATCCCCTGTGCTCTAGCAACACTTTTAATATAGGCTTAGTATCTGGCAGGGCTACGTGATCCCCCTCCACCTTTATTCTTCTTTTTCAGAATTTTCCTGGCTATTTAGGTTTATTTTTCTCTATGAATTTTAGAATCAGTCTATTTGAGATGTTATATTTGTAATATATTAACTTAGGAAGATATAAGAGATTGATGATGTTGAGTCTTCCACATATGAGAGCTTTGAGGAGTAAATGAATTACAAGGTATACAATCTCTCTAGTAAGCTTCTTGCAGACTTGGAGCTGATGGATCAAATATCATCTCTAGCCATGTGAACAACTTTAAATAACTAATTCAAGTCACAACCCCTTTAGGAAGCCTTCCTGTCTGTTATCATTTCCCCCTCCTTTAACTTCCTAGGTATTTCTTGCCATAGCACTTATGTGATACTCAACATATGCTATTTTATATTCCAATGTGCATGAGAAGTGACTGTCAAGTACTGGGGCTGCTTTTCTTTGGGTGACTTCCATAAAACACACAGGAAGTCAATGTCACATGTTAACTCTAAGCATGAATAGGAACTGCACTGGGGTGGTTATGCAGCTCTGTAGTCCCCTTTACAGTGCCTAAATAATGCCAATGGTAAATACAGATAACCCGAGTATATAGAGCTAGGAGGAGGCTTTTTATCATGGCATCATACAGGAAAGATTTGTGGCTGTGTGGAGGAAGGAAAACTAAAGAGTCTTCCTATTTTTCAATCTTGCTTATGTACTTTTAGGCAAGAGGCTAAGCAGGGACCCTGGTGGAACCTCAGGAATCCACTTTCAGAGGCCAGAAATAGGGAGTTAGGAAATTAGGACAATCTTACAGAGAAAAGAAATACAGGAGATAACTCACAGTAACCGCAAATGGGGTGTCCATTCCACAAATATCTGTTAATATTTATTATAGGCCAAACACTATTCAACACTATTCTACTTATTCAACACCACCATGTTTGATGTTGATGGATGTGAATAAGAACCATATAGTTACCTTTATAAAAAGATGAGTTTTTAAATCCAGAGATGCAGAAGAACTGACATAAGAGATGAAAAAGGAACTCTGACCTAGGAGTAACAAATAAATTCCCAAAACACCCAAAGTGTGCTTCTCGAGATACCAATCCATTCTATGCTGGGCAGTTTAATGAGATATGAGTCTTTTTTTTTTTTTAACATTTTATTTATTTATTCATGAAAGAGAGAGAGAGGCAGAGATATAGGCAGGGGGTGAAGGAGGCTCTCCACAGGGAGCCCAATGCAGGACTCGATCCCAGGACTCTGGGATCACGCCCTGAGATGAAAGCAGATACTCAACCACTGAGCCAGCCAGGTGTCCCTTTTCTCACTTTTTTTTTTTTTTTTTATATTGGCCAAATGCTTTCCCCACCTATTCCTTTCTTAGTTCAAACAAAAACACAATTTTTAGAATTTCCAAGCTGAAATCCTGACTTACTAATCCAGGGCACTGAGTCTTTAGGTTTGGATTTTTGGGTGTTTTTTGGTTATGATTATGGGAGTGAAGGGGTCTTATTAGCATTTAGTGAATGGAGGTCATGGATGCTTAAAATCTTGCCAAATGCCTAACAGTCCTACTATTGTGTCTCACATTTTCATCATCTGCTTCATTTCATGTCTTCTTGACCAATTCTTCATTTTTCATTCCAATTGCAAGCCTTTGAGGCAATTAAGAATTTTTAACCACCTTAATTATAGACTTGAACATTCACCTGCAGCTACCTAAATGCTTATTACATGCAATTGTGTTCCTCGTGGTTTTATCACAGCCATCCTTGAAGACGTTTTTGGAAAACATCAGAACGATGTTGACTCATCTTCACCTCATAGGTTCTGTTGCACCTTGAAGAGCCCAGCGACTGGGCCACAGGCACTCTTGTCACCAGCCTGCACGGCCAATGGTGCCTCATGATGTGTCCTCCTATGGAGGCCACACAGAGAAGCCTAATGATTTTTGAATATCCTATTCAACACTCACACGGGTGAAAAACTCTTAATTATCTAAGCCTTCAAACCAACTCCACAAATAAACTCGAAAGTTTTTTTTGTATAGTTTTAAAGTACGTTGAATTTTCCAAGGCAGTAATCACATTATCAATCAAGTAAAGACTGTACTTTGTTTTATTTGAAAATCTACTAAGAGCTGTTCACTATCACGGAAAGTCCTGCCAGTAAGGCAGGAAAACCCATCTGGCTCCATTTGCATCTGCAGTTTTTATATTCATGGTGCAAGTAACTGCCTACTTTATTTCTAATATAGTTATGCCCCAATATTTACATATTGAAATTAATACATATTACCTTATTACAAGTTACTTTTATTCATTGTTTGTATTATAGTTTCAGCATTATATTGATTTTTCTCTAAAATTAACTATGGAAGTAGTACTTATCTATGAATTTTATTTCAGAATAGTAAAAGGGATATAACAAAGTATTTGTTATTAAAAAGGGAATATGGGGCACCCTGGGTGGCTCAGCAGTTTAGCGCAGCCTTCAGCCCAAGGCGTGATCCTGGAGACCCAGGATCGAGTCCCACATCGGGCTCCCTGCATGGAGCCTGCTTCTCCCTCTCCCTGTGTCGCTGCCTCTCTCATTCTCTCTGTGTCTCTCATGAATAAATAAATAAAATCTTTAAAAAAATTTCATTTAAAAAAAAGGGGGGTATATGAAGAGGTGCCTAGCTGGCTCAGTTGATAGAACATGTGACTTTTTTTTTTTTTTTTAATGCCGAGATCAAGTCAGACACTTAACTAACTGAGCCACCCAGGCAACCAAGAGTGGGACCAAGTCCCTAAGCATGGGACTCTTGATCTTGGGGTCATGAGTTTAAGCCCCACACGGACTACAGAGATGACTGGAAAAAATAAAAATAAAAACAAAAACAAAACAAAACAAAAAAACAGAGAAGGGGGGAGTGGAGTGGGACATGGCCAAGCACCAGTATTTGACATCATGAATTCAGATTTGTGAAATATAAATTAACTTTTGCTCACCTTTTTCAAAGGAACTTTGAAAGCAATGAAACGAGTCCCAGGCATCCGTTGTCCAATTGGGAGGTAGTCTTTCCACCTATTAATACAATTTGTTAGCCAAATTTTATGTTAGCCTATCTCCCAGCATAGAATGAAAGTTCCTTGTAAATGGAAACCATAGCCCACACAGTAGGTCTCCTCTTCCCTTTGAATTCTGCTGTTCCACTACTTACTCAACACCTAGCAACAACTTATACTTTCCTAGATACAAGGCAACAGTACAAAGGTCTCAACAAATAAGGCAGATCTAAAACCAGGGTTGGCCAGTACTTTTCTATCCCTGATAAAACCTAGACCAACCCTGAATACTAAGACGTCATTAACACGTCTTAGTTGACTGAAATAATTTAATTCTTTTCACTTCAGTTTTAGTCCTTATACAACTGATGCCATCAAATTCAACCAACAGAGAACTTCAAGTTCAATATTTTAAAAGAAAACCTGATAGAAAAGGGACTGTGAACTTCACTTAGGAATGTTAGGAGTCACAGTGAAAAGTCCTATTTGAGCTGACATCTGTAGGATGAGTTAGTTAAGGTTAATTCGGTATAGCTGAAGCACAGAAAGTGAGACAAAAATGACACAGTGTAGGGCTGGAGAAGCAAGAGAGGAGTCTTGAATATGCAGAGTCTTAAAGACCATGGCAAAGAGTTTGTATTCTTAAGAGAATGTTTTTGGTATATATTTATGAGCAACATTCGAACTAGTCTATTAAAAGGACTTGTGTGGAAAATGGATTGGAAGGAAATAAGAGTTGATATATGTACACTAGTTAGCACCTAACCGCAACAGATCAGGCAAATTCTAACATAGAGTAGTTGACAGTTTAATGATATCCAGGAAATAAAATGAAGGGGACCGTGATGCAGGAGATGGGAGGAAAGGAAGGTCTCAAGAAATAAGAAAAGAGTTCACGCATGAGTAAGGTGTCAAAATTATTTCTACAGAAGAAGTTAGCTCAAATGAGACGTGTGAGGAAGCAACAGTATGCCCTCTGTGATTCCTGGAAAAATTAGAAATCAACTTTTACGGTGGAAAGTTCGGACGTCCCGGTGAGTTTTCTCACTCGAACTCGTCTTATTAGTCATATTTGCTGTGCCAAAAGAACAGCTCGAGGAACTCAGGGAGACTCCAATGTGATAATTAAGGGGTGTCCCCAATACTGGCACCCATCTTTAAAAAGCCGTCCCTCTGCATTTTACCAGAAAAGCAATGGCCAGAGCCTCGCTTTTAACAAAATGGGAAGAAATCAGAACCTCACAGATGATCAGACATTACGGGCGGAGCAGCGGGAGCATCAGGGCCTCCCAGCTCCCGCGGACGGGCCAGGCGCGCGGCGGGGCCCGGCGCAGGTAGAGACCATGAGAGACGGAGCCCAGGCCCAGAGGCTCAGAGCAGGAGGGCCACGCCCTGGGGCCAAGGCGGATTACCTTTCCGGGACGTGGTTTCCGCGCTTCTTCTTGGCTGAGCGACGCCCAGAGAACACGTGCCCCTGGCCCCAGCCGCCGCGGGCATGATGCCACTGGCTCATCTGGGCCCCAAGATGCCGCCCACCCAACGGCAAGAGCCACAAAGCCGCCAGGCCAGCGTCCTCCGTGCCAAAACAAAATCCCAGGGCGGCAGCGCAGAAGCACCACCCACGCAGTTCCGGCCCCCTTCTACTGCGCACGCGCCGCGACAGTCGTGATGACGTCACCACGCTGGCTGACGGAGAAGTTTGATTAGTAAACAGGAGTCGGGGAACCACAGTGCCCGCCTAAGCCGGGGGCCGGTAGCACAGGTTCGATGAGCACGTGTGTACACTTCAGAATCAAAATAGTACAGGATACGCAGTGAAAGTTAAGTCCCAAATCTCCACTTCCTTGTGTGGTTCTCCCAGATGTTTTCCAACTGCTTACATTCAGGCTTATTATTATTATTATTTTTTTTAGTATATGTTTTTATTGAAGTTCGATTTGCCAACATATAGCATAACACCCAGTGCTCATCCCATCAAGTGCCCCCCTCACTGCCCGTCACCCAGTTACCCTCATCCCCGCCCACCTCCCCATCCACTACCCCTTGTTCGTTTCCCAGAGTCAGGAGTCTCTCATGTTCTGTCTCCCTCACTGATATTTCCCACTCATTGTCTCTCCTTTCCCCTTTATTCCCTTTCACTATTTTTTATATCCCCCAAATGGATGAGACCAGATAATGTTTGTCCTTCTCCGATTGACTTACTTCACTCAGCATAATACCCTCCAGTTCCATCCACGTTGAAGCAAATGGTGGGTATTTGTCATTTCTAATGGCTGAGGAATATTCCATTGTATACATAAACCACATCTTTTTTATCCATTCATCTTTCGATGGACGCCGAGGCTCCTTCCACAGTTTGGCTATTGTGGACATTGCTGCTATAAACATCGGGGTGCAGGTGTCCTGCCGTTTCACTGCATCTGTATCTTTGGGGCAAATCCCCAGCAGTGCAATTGCTGGGTCGTAGGGCAGGTCTATTTTTAACTCTTTGAGGAACCCCCACACAGTTTTCCAGAGTGGCTGCACCAGTTCACATTCCCACCAACAGCGCAAGAGGGTTCTCCTTTCTCCACATCCTCTCCAACATCTGTGGTTTCTTGTCTTGTTAATCTTCACCATTGTCACTGGGGTGAGGTAGTAACTCACTGTGGTTTTGATTTGTATTTCCCTGATGGAAAGTGATGTGGAGCATTTTCTTACGTACTTGTTGGCCATGTCTATGTCTTCCTCTGTGAAATTTCTGTTCATGTCTTTTGCCCATTTCAGGATTGGATTGTTTGTTTCTTTGCTGTTGAGTTTAATAAGTTCTTTATAGATCTTGGATACTAGCCCTTTATCTGATACATCATTTGCAAATATCTTCTCCCATTCTGTAGGTTGTTTTTTAGCTTTGTTGACTGTTTCTTTGCTGTGCAGAAGCTTTTTATCTTGATGAAGTCCCAATAGTTCATTTTTGCTTTTGTTTCCCTTGCCTTCATAGATGTATCTTGCAAGAAGTTGCTGTGGCCAAGTTCATAAATGGTGTTACCTGTGTTCTCCTCTAGGATTTTGATGGATTCTTGTCTTGCATTTAGATCTTTCATCCATTTTGAGTTTATCTTTGTGTATGGTGTAAGAGAAAGACTTATTGTTTATATATAAATATTTATTTGTACATATATAGTTATCTTCTCTTTTATACAAAACGGTAGAATATATGTATCCTACAATCTATCTTGGATACTGATTTTCCTAGTCAATTTATGCATACATCCGCTCTATTCTTTTTAATGCCTGGAGTGCATAATGTTTCATTGATTATAGAAAACAGGGGGATCCCTGGGTGGCTCAGCGGTTTGGCACCTGCCTTTGGCCCAGGGCGCAATCCTGGAGTCCCGGGATCGAGTCCCGCGTCAGGCTCCTAGCATGGAGCCTGCTTCTCCCTCTGCCTGTGTCTCTGCCTCTCTCTGTGTGTGTCTATCATGAATAAATAAATAAGTAAACCTTTAAAAAAAGATTATAGAAAACAATCTATAATCGGTCCAATATTGATGGACTTCTAGTTGTTTTCAGGCTTTTGTTCTCTGTTGCAGACAGGCTGCAATGTGAATGCCCTGAAATATGTTTATGTCTATATCTAAATCCCTAGAAGTAGAATTGCTGGAATGAAGGATATGTAGACTTAAAAATTTGAAAGATACTGTTACCCTCCAAAAGTATTGTATCAACCTGCACTCCCACTCACAGTGAAACTTTTATTGGATTCTTATCATGTACCAGGTATCACACCAGAGGTGGACAGTAGGTATTTAGTTCTTAGGAAAAAAAATGACTGAGAGAGAGAGAGTAGAAGCTCACATCTAAGATTTCCACACAGTGTCTGGCATAGGGATCTGTACCTGTTAGAAAAACTGAATTTTTGCTATCTGTGGAATAGCAAAGGACCAGCATGTCCTACAGTAGGTCTGAAGGCAGAATAGAGTACTGAATTCCAGGCAATAATACCTATTTTTTTGTGATTTGTATTTTTTAGTTTCTAATTTCTGTAAGTATATAAATTGTTGGTCTTTACAACCATTTGAGATCTGAATACACTGAGATTCAGAAAGATCAGAGTTATTAAATAAATTATCAAATGAATGGGTAAAAAGATGACTAGCTTTGACATTTCTGGGACAGTCAGATTCTAACCAAGTTTAAATCCACAAGCATTTACAATTCTGAAAACTTACACATTATTTAAAACAGGTCAATATTATTACATTGCTATTTGGAAAAAGAAAATATATAAGATCCCACAGCACATTTGCAAACTTACAATTTGGTACATTCAAATTTGGTGCTTAATTATAGACTACTCTTTTGGAATTTCTGAAAAAAATTTCAATAGGCATGTAGCAGCCAAAACATATGAATGGTACATATATCTATGAATATGACAATATATAAAATGTGACATAAATGTATCAGAAACTAAAAAAGGTACATCGGTCTTGGACTCTCAATTTGCTAAAAGACACAACAAGCTCAGTTATAGTTGATACAAGAAAATCCAGACCTAGGCATAATAAGGTTTTCAGAAAATATGGGAACTAGAAAAGAGTAGGCCTTAGGATGGGAGTGAGTCCAACATGAGATAAAAGAATGCCTTTATAGATATGTAGTACACTGAAATGGAAAATATGGGATCAAGGGATATTTGGACCACCAAACAGCTAAGTAGTTGACACTAACAAAATTTATCTGTATATGGTAGGGCTCTAGGTATTTAGATCTTAGAAAAAAACAAACAAACAAAAATAACTAACCTTAGGGTTTTGAGAGACCCTGGTCTTTAATTAAATCACAAACTGACAAAAGGGCAAGTAAGACAGAGCCTGCTAAGATAGACTGGATAGTTACATATATTACAATTCCCATTGATCTGAGTGTGTGCAAAATGCAGGAAGTGGGTCTGGAGAACAAGATGGGAGTGCCTGGCTGGCTCAGCTGTTATAGCACACAACTCTTGATCTCAGGGTTACAGTTTTGAACCCCACATTGGGTATAGAGATTACTTAAAAATAAAATCTTAAAAAAATACATATAGTATAAGATGGTACCCAAACCATAAAAATAAGACTTTAGGTCAAAATAAGCCTTGATGCTAAGTTCCAAAGTGTTAGACTAAGCTGTTTAGGTTATTCCTTCTCTGTTTAAGAGTCTTCTAGAGGGCAGCCCGGGTGGCTCAGCAGTTTGGTGCCGCCTGGAGACCCGGGATCAAGTCCCGTGTTGGGCTTCTGGCATGGAGCCTGCTCCTCCCTCTGCCTATTTCTCCTTCTGCCTGTGTCTCTTCCTCTCTCTCTGTTTCTTGAATAAATAAAATCTTTTTTTTAAAGAGTCTTCTAGAAGTTAGGATGATGCTGAGCTTTCAGGCTAAAGTTAAATTGCGGGAACTCTGGAGAGAAAATAGAGGGAACCAGGAAAGGCCTAACTAAGGGTCTCCCTAAATAGAACTGAATGTTAGCACTGAATATTTTAACATGTAAATATTTCACTGCTACCAGAATTTATGTTACTACACTTTCCCTCAATCTTACACCACCCACCCTAAATGTAGGAGCTATGGAATCCCTTGATCTCCATAGGAACATAGAGGAAAGAGACACTGGTCTGGCTTGCTGATACTTTCTACGGACTGTTAGCCTCACATTGTATACTGATATCATTGAACTAGGCTATCTGAGGTATGACTCTGAGGGGGGAAAATCTTGAAAAAAGATTATAAGCTTAAGCCATGTCTCTATGCTGCAACACCTCTCACAATTTCTTCTCAGATAAGCATCACCCCCATCACTGAACAAACTCATATCTCATAATAGGAAAAGTAGGCTTATAGGTGAAGTATGTCTCTCTGGAGGTCCCATCTGTAAGCTATCTTCTTGTGGGCTCTCGGCGTCTTATATCACACACCTCCTAATTTTAGCACCAGAAAAGTTCACAGGTAGATTGATCTAGGCTCTCCTACAAGCCTACCATTGAGGAAGATGACTGGATCCATAGATTTCCTCCCCTAAACCAGCTTACATCACCTAAAAATCATGAGCAGCTCAGCCCTAACGCACTTTATCAGTCACAAGAAGCAATCCAGGCTGGAAGGGACTGACTATAGGCATCTTCCTTATGCTCCGGGGCACGGTGTAACTTGCCATGGTGCCTTTCTCATGCACCCTTTCTAAAGTGTCTCCACAAAATCCATCAAGTCACATTAGTTCATGATGCTTCAAAATAAACAATCATCAAGAGGAAAACACAATATGTCTCATAATGCTGTATTCCTTAAAAATACAAGGGAAGGGATGCCTGGGTGGCTCAGTGGTTGAGAATCTGCCTTTGGCTCAGGGCATGATCCCAGGGTCCTGGTATCGAGTCCCACAGAGGGCTCCCTGTGTGGAGACTGCTTCTCTCTCTGCCTGTGTCTCTGCCTTTCTCTCTCCACGTGTCTCTCATTAATACATACATAAAATCTTAAAAAAAAAGAGAGAATCTGCCTTTGGCTCAGTTGTGATCCCAGGTTTCTGGGATCAAGTCCTGCATCGGGCTCCTTACAGGGAGCCTGCTTCTCCCTCTGCCTATGTCTCTGCCTCTCTCTGTGTGTCTCTCATGAATAAATAAATAAAATCTTTTTAAAAACACAAGGGAAAAAATGTAGAAGATAATGGAGCATTTAAAAACAACCTATATTCTATGAACATACAATAAATGATGTAAATGAGGTAATATGACCCCCAAAACTGAAAAAATATATATTCTCTTTAGTGTACAGAGTTCATGGCCATTGCTGCACTATCTAGCTGCATAAATAAATAATTTAATGACTATAAGATATTAAATACTAATTATGTAACTATGTTATTATATTATAATCAATGTTATAGAGGAATTAATATGTTATGTAAATGTTATACTAATATATTAATATAAATTTACATGTATGTAAATATATATAACTGTATGCTCTTTTTAAAATATTTTATTTATTATTCATGAGAGACACAGAAAAAGAGAGAGGCAGAGACATAGGCAGAGGGAGAAGCAGACTCCATGCAGGGAGCCTGATGTGGGACTCCATCATGGGACTCCAGGATCATGCCCCGGGCCAAAGGCAGGCACCAAACCACTGAGCCACCCAGGCGTCCCTGTATGTTCTATTAATACAAAATGAAGCCAAAATGTGTCAACTTATTTCTCACAGAAACCAAAAATCCACATGAATCTTGTTTTTCCTGTACTCTTTCATTCTGCATGTTCCCTATTCTCAATGAATGTCCTCTTCTTTCTCTAACTCTTCTCTTCTTCATTTTGCCTGATCTTGCACCCAAGCATGGCAGGCAGAGAATCCTAGAGGCCCAAGGTTCTACAGTGGCTGTTTGCAAGGGGGGAGGAGGCTACAGTAACTGCCACACTGGATACACTTAAGTGAGAAGGAAAAGGGGAAAGTATCCCAGATGCCATCAATGCCTCTTACCCATAAAAGAACAGGATGGCAGGATGCCTGTATGGCCCAAAGAGCCAGAGGTAGCAAATTATGGGCAGAAGAATTGCAACCAAATGCTGGAAAAGGAAAGGTCTGCGATCAGCTGTGTCATCCAGCTCTCTGGTATTTGCTTCTAATGGGCACAATTCATTTTGCAAAGAATCAGGCACTGAAAAGAAGACACCTGCTGCTGGAAGTTGATCAGAAGTAACACCCTCAACTGTAAGATTGCAGATCAAGGCTAGTTCCAGAAACAATGCCCATGATGAATGAGAGGAGAAGAGAGATCCAAGCCCAACCTGGCCAGGCCCAGCCTAGCCCAGCTCGTCTCAGCCCAAGAAAGTGAGGATTCAATGAGAAGAAACTGCAAGAGAAGAGCCTGTACCACATTGTTCCTCATGAAGTGCACTCAACGAACTTCACCCTATTCTTTAACCAAGTTACAAAAAGAGCTCTTTAGTCCCATCCTTTGCTTCTTAAAAGCTGCAGTAAGTTCACTAATCAGACCAATATTATTTCAGAACACCTGTAGTTTTTCAACCTAGATATGCCTTTTGTCTGTAAGGATGTTAATTAACTTTTATCAATTAACATTTATAATCATAAATGTAGACTACATGAGATAAAATATATAGAATATAAATAACTATTAGTTAGTTGTATTCATGAACATCTTTGAGAAACATTGAGATGATTTCCCTAACATAAGAGTCTGGGGAAAATGAAACTCTCACATCTATCTTGAAGCTTAGGTGCCACTGAGATGTTGTTTTAGCTCTCCTACCACTCCTTCCACCCAATCCCGGCTTCTTATTGGGAATGTGACCTCCCCATTGGCTCCCTCATACCTTTAAACTGCCTGCTTTGTGACATCATTCTCCCACCAAACTACCACCTGGTAGAATCTTGGGGTTTCCATGGAGTTGTCTGTAAACAAATTTGGATCATCGCAAGTGACCAGTAACCAGTGACCTTCGTACTGGACACATGCACTCTTTGGCTTCAGCTGCTCCAATACCCTCTAGTATCGGCTTCTTGCCCCTTGTATCTGCAGTGGATGTTTCTTCTCTAACCATGTCCGGTAAGGAAAGAAACTTTTAAAAGTTTTTTACTGGATTTTTTTTTTGCCCTAAATTTAGTAGTATATTCAAAATAGCATGGAATAATGGGGGGAAGTATTGAACTAAAACTCCAGAGTCCTCAATTTCAGTTTTGACTTTGTCATTTACTAGCTGTGTGACTTTGGACAAGTCATTCACTCACAAAATCTGTTTTTTCTTCACCTGTTACTTTAGGGTGTTAGATGGGTTGCTCTCTCTGGTCCCTTTCTTTTCTAATATTGAGTATTAAAGGGCACCCATTGAGAAAATGAAATCAGAGACTTCGTGAGAGTGTCTCGACAGAAAGAGAGAAAACCTAGGTTATATAGAAAAGTAGCAATATTTACCAAGATGTTTCATCTGTAATGGTCCCTCCACTAATATTTCAACTGTAGTATTTTAAATTCAGTACTGTTCAGAAAGTTACAGTGGCATGATTTGAAGTTTCTACCTTATGTAGTCGAAAAGGGAAAAGAGGGAAAGAGGATGGAGAAGAATGAGTTTGAGGGAGGCAAGTCTTCAAAGGTAAGGACATTCAGGATTGTTTCCCTCAGCACAGGCCAACTGAAACCAAGGGGGAGGAGAAAATATAAGAATGAAGGGGAAGCGGGGCACCTGGGTGGCTCTGCCATCATTGTCAGTTGAGGTTGAGCAGTTAAGCATCTATGTCTGCCTTTGGCTCAGGTCATGATCTTGTGAGATCAACCCCAGCATCAGGCTCCCAGGTTGATCAGTGGGGAGTCTGCTTCTCTCTCTCTCTCTCTCTCTCTCTCTCTCTCTCTCTCTCTCTCTCTCCTCTCTCTAAAATAAATAAATAAATCTTAAAAAAAAAGAATGTTGAGGAAAAGCACAGAGGAGCTCTCAAGAAAAAAAAAGAGGTAGTTTGGGATGGAATATGGAAGGGAACCAAAGATTTTAAATAAAAGCAGGAAGAGCATGAAATGAAATCTGCTTAGAGCAGGACAAAACAAAGATGATTTTAGCAAACACTTCCATTAATAGAGTAGTCAGGAAAGGAAGGCCAGAGTAGGGCATCGCAGGGAAAAGCAGCTTACAAAAAAGCCATACTCAGTTGTTTGGGTTTATGTATTGCCTCTCTGAATGCAGGTGGCAGTTAATTGCTTAAAATGTAAACATTTTAGAAATATACTTTAGAAATGATGCTTATTATCAACAAGCAACTAATAAAAATGGCTATCTGGGACACCTGGGTGGTTCAGCGGTTGAGCGTCTGCCTTTGGCTCAGGATGTGATCCTGGAGTCCCGGGATCGAGTCCCACATCTGGCTTCTTACGGGGAGCCCGCTTCTCTCTCTGTCTGTGTCTCTGCCTCTCTGTCTCTCATGAATAAATAAAAATCTTGAAATAAAATAAAATAAAAGTGGCTATCTAGGGGGCTGAAAGAAACAGAATTTTCAGTTATATTTCTGATTTTTAAGCTCTGTAGATGTTTTGCCTATTAAAAATAAGACCAAGTTTGTTTAAAAATGGCATCTCCTAGATTGAATCCTAAGGACTAATTCCTTTGTGTGATCAATAGATTCTGAATCAAGACTACTTTTCATCTCTACAGTTATTTTCTTCCCAACACAGAAGGAACACATCTGTTTTTATTTTTTTTTTCACATCTGTTTTTAGATCTTAGTTAGTGATCTAAGAAGAAAAGAAAAAGTCAAGCTCCACATCTCTAATTCCACATTTATCTAAGACAATTTTGTGGAGTCCTTTGGGTTTCCTACATTAATTTTTTTATTTGATTTTAGTGATGATGGCTTTAATTTAGACTTTGGGGGTGACATTTTCTTGGATGTTGAAGATCATTAAAATATATTTTTGGATAGAATATAAAAACCTCTGTGATGCTTTTTAAGTGTTCTCTCTTTTATTATATAATTATATTAAATATATTTTTTCATTGTTTTATTCTGATCTTATTTAGTTTTTATTTAAATTCAATTAATTAACATATAGTATATTATTAGTTTCAGAGGTAGAGTTCAGTTGAAATATACATTTCTACTAGACTTAGTATCTGTTACTTGCTGGGTAATATTCAGAAAAATGTGAATGAACACAATAATGGAATTCCTTTTTATGCATACTATTTTCCTCTCTGCTCTGTACCAGATATTATTGAAGTATTTGTCTACAAAAATTGTGACTACTTATATATGCAAATTTATATCATTTGCTGCTTGTTAGACAATTTTTACTGTTTTATCTTCTCTTTCTGTATGTACTGGCTAGGAATTCATTCAAAGTCACCTTCTGTTGTGCGCTGTGTTTTGGTTAGTAGTATTCAGCAAAATAGCTTAGGCAATATTCACTTCCATCATCTTGCATGTATGATAGAGAACTTCATTTATTAGTGAACTTATTATGCTTTGATACTTGTTACATATCCCAGTTTTCATTAATATCTATATATTTTTTCTTAGTTTTATGTTTTTCATGATTTTTCTGTCATTTCAGAACATGTCTTCCTTCAATATAAAAAGTGTAATGTATCACTTTTATTCATGTAAGAATTATTTCCATTATTATTATAACCACTTTATATATGAGTAATCTTAGGCTGAAAGAGAGTTTAAATAAATTTTTTCTCTCAAAAAGCACTTCTTGGGTGGTGTCTGGATGACTCAGTCGGTTGGGCATCTGCCTTCAGCTCAGGTCATGATCCCAGGGGCCTGAGATCTGCCCCGGCATTAAGCCCCACATCGGGCTCCTTGCTCAGCAAGGGGCCTGCTTCTCCCTCTCCCTTTGTCTGCCACTCCTCCTGTTTGTGCTCTTTCTCCCTGTCAAATGAGTAAATGAAATCTTTTTTTTTTTAATTTTATTTTATTTTTTAGTTTATTTATGATAGTCACAGAGAGAGAGAGAGAGGCAGAGACACAGGCAGAGGGAGAAGCAGGCTCCATGTACCGGGAGCCTGACGTGGGATTCGATCCCGGGTCTCCAGGATTACGCCCTGGGCCAAAGGCAGGCGCTAAACCACTGCGCCACCCAGGGATCCCTGAAATCTTTTTTTTTTTTTTTTTTAAAAAGAGCATTTCTTGAGAAACTTTCAGTCATTTTGAGGTAGGATCAGAAACCAGGTTTAAAAAGATAAGAATGGGGATCCCTGGGTGGCGCAGCGGTTTGGCGCCTGCCTTTGGCCCAGGGCGCGATCCTGGAGACCCAGGATCGAGTCCCACGTCGGGCTCCCGCTGCATGGAGCCTGCGTCTCCCTCTGCCTGTGTCTCTGCCTCTCTCTCCCTCTCTCTCTGTGTGACTATCATAAATAAATAAAAATTTAAAAAAAGATAAGAATGGCCCTCTTTTTCCTTTAAAACTTTTATTTTCAAGTAGTCTCTGTACCCAACATGGGGTTCAAATTCACAACCCTGAGATCAAAAGTCACATGCCCCTCTGACTGAGCCAGCCAGGTGACCCAAGAGGGGGACCCTTTAAATTTACCAACTGGACTGAGTGGTATGTGAACTCTAGGTAATAGCATGAAATGCACAAATAAAATGGTTATACAAATAAAATAGTTACTATAGAAGAGTACCGACCAGACTGCTTCAGCACTTAATCACCCTGTTTGGGTTTTGGTATCTCAGCAAGTGTTGGTATCAGAGGCTTCCTGGTAGCAACAACTTTAAGATAATCCTGTTCCTTAAACATAGTGAGAATTGATCCATCTCCCTGATATTTCATCACCCTCTTTTTCCCTACAGAAAATTTCCAAAATCCATCTTTACTTGGAACTCCAAACTCTCTGCAGCTGTCTCTCCCTGTGGTGAGCAATACAGCTTCCCTAACAGGAAGTGTCTGCAGCTTCTCCAGAGTGTCTGCTCCAGCTGTCAGTTCGGCATGGCTACTGCCATCAGCTTCTGGTTCCTCTTTCCAGCCACTCATGGGTAGTGCCTACCTCTACCAACATTCCAGTACAACTACGTTGTCTGGAGTTACTGGGCAGAGCCAGAGCTCCACATCAGCTGCTTCCTATCCTGGTATTTTCCGGTGGGATGTCATGGGAAGCACTAAAAAGAAGTCATCTTTAGTCAGAGACCTCACTGTGACTATCATTAACCAGGACACAGGTGTTTCTTCCATGTCTATGGCAGCCCAGTATGACAAAACTTCAGAGGCCAATAACATGCTTCCTCTGTATCCATCACTTTCTGCCAGCCTTGTTCAGGGAACACCATCTCAGATTCCAAATCAGGGACACAGCCTATCACTTCCCTATCAGGAAGGAAGCCAGGTATACTACTATAATCAAGGCACACTGGGGCCTCTACTGTCTGCAGAACTTGGCCCCTGTCTGCAATCCTATGGCTCTGTGTCCTACATGGGAAGTAGGGCCTCTGCCCCTCAACCAGAAATGGTGATGGTACTCAAGGAGGTTCAGCCCACAAATGTTCTACCACCAGCCTCTGATTCTGGAATATACTACACTGTGTCAGCTCAACCCATCACAGAAACAAGTTTTCAAGGTGAGTAGAAATAGCAAGAGGGAGAGAAATAAGGTCAGCATTCAAAAATCAGGTCAGATCTGGAGCTGAGAAGTACTGAGTCCACAGACAGGCAGAATTTAAGTCCTGAGTTTTTAATAACCACTACCCTCGCTCAGTGCTCTCCACTTTTAGACTCTATTTAAAAACACTTAGTAGAGGTGCGAGGTGGGCACACTGTAATGGCTATCTATGCTATAGGTCGAAGAACCCCAAGAACATACCAAGGGCTACCACACTTTGCACTGCTGTAGCCGATCACCTTCCGTGTACTATCACACTGCAGTGAACTCTCTTCCCTGAGCTACTGCTTCAGGGTCTTTGGAAAGCATTTTGAAACTCTTATTGTGATGATGCCTGTTTAAATTTCCCTCACTTCCTTAATCTACACCAAGATTTAAGACCCTGTGTTCTGAGATCCTGTCCAAAGCAAGCAGGCTAAGAATTTATCCTCACTTACATATTTTATCAGGAAGAGCTCCACTCTCCCTCTCCTAGTCCATGATGTCAAGTATTCTTATTCTCTAAGGAAAGTAGAGAGACTTGAAGTGACCCTATATGAGAATGCTTGGCTTTGTTAAACATTTCATAATATAAAAAAAATCACTTTTACCTGACATAACAACCCTATAAAATACAAAGAAAATCAAACATCAATGACATCGAATGATCACCAGTAAGAGTTAGAAGTCACCTCCCATCTCCTAAGAAGATCTGGGAGAACTGCCTTGCCCATTGCTAGAAGGTGCATGATTTCTGTGTTAGTTTCTAAGGGGAGCATCTCACTTACCAGGAAATGACTTTTTTCTTGATTTCTTTGTAGTGATGGAGACCTCCCTGGGGATGGAGACGTCCCTAGGGTTGCAACCTCCAAGTCAGGCATTTTGTCTGCCACAAACTCCAGAATTCCCCAAGTCCTGCAGTAGCAGAAATATCCAGATGCTTGAAAGTAACCCACCACCTGAACTTGGAGACATCTCTATGATAGCTCCAGTCCAAAGTTCTAGTAATGTCCTGGTACTGCCTCCAGCTCCCAGCCAGAAACAAACAGAGAATAAGAATTTGGATGATATTAAAACCAAGCTTTCAAAGCCTCTGGATGCCTACCAGATCCCGATAGAAAACCAAGATCCTCCACTACTTCCTTTAGAAATTCCTGATATTCACCACCTCTTGGCCTCCATTGACCCTCCTGGTCAGGAGGAACAGCCAGGTTCTGAAGACACCGATCTGGGAAAAAATGGCCCGAGTCTTGAGAACCAAAGGATCCTTGAAAATGGGATTGAATCTAGTGGTGGTTTTGCAGACGTAGCTACACTGGTGAAGGACATTCATCTTCCCCAGCTCTTTAATTCCTTGAAAGACCTTGATAAATCCAAAGGTGCCAAGGCGATCAAAGCCAAAGATACCAGAGTCATCAAGTTGAACCAGGTGCAAGAAAAGTCAAGTGTCATAAAGGCTCCCTCTGATCAAGTCATGAAGAACAAACATAAAGCCACTGAGCCTATCAATGATGCTCCCAAGGCCAAAATCCAGGCAAAAAACTCAGAGTGCCTGTTAGGGGGAGATGTGGTTATTTGTGATGCTGTAGACAGTGACAGGGCTCCAGTGAACACGGCCAAACATTCCAACAGCAAATCTCAGAAAGCTGCATCCAGCAGGACCAGTAAAGCTAAGAGCCATGGGCAGGAAAAGACCAAAAGGACCAGAGAAAACAACCCCAAGAAAGCTGAAGAAAGTAAGCAGTCAGGGAACAAAATCAAGGCAGAAGAGAAGCCAACCATTCCCAAGAGGAAGCGGAAGAAAAATCAACCCGAGCTTAGTCAAGAGAACTTTAAGAAGCCTCGAAGCTGCCTAGGCATGCACATGTTGGAGTCTGTGCAGGTTTTTCATGCACTGGGGAAGAAGAGTGATAAGAAAACTGGACTGTCTTCCTCCCGGCCTCTGGTAAGCTCCAGCAACCCAAAAGATGCCCGGCCATCCCCAGCTATCAAACCATGGCTTAATACTACACGTGAAGGTAAAGGTCCTGAGAAAAATCAAATCAAAGCCCAGAAACCAGACAGGGGTGCTGACGAAGAGTGTTCATCTCCATCCCAGTATGAGCTGCCACCCCCTGGGAAGGTCAAGTTGGTGCCTTTGCCTTTTCCAATCTTCGAGAAGCCTCGACCTCGACCTGTTCCACGGAGGCCACAGTCTCTGGCCTCACATCGTTCTGCTGTGGCTCACCCTGCCAGGCCTGGTTCTACCAGCTCAGCTCAACCTGCTGCAGCCAACCTATCCCGGCCGACTCCTGCCTCCTTGACAGGTCCTGCCAGGCCTGCTCGGCCAATTTCAACCAATCCCACACAGCCAATTTCAACCAATCCCACACGGCCAATTTCAACCAATCCCACACGACCAGGTTTGACCAACCCTATCCGGCCTAGTGTCCCACAATCTGCTGTCTCTAGGCCTGCACCCTACAAAATGTCATCTTCCACTTCTCTCCAGCGGGAGCCCATTCCCACTGCTGTGACCAAGCGCCAGTCTCCACCCAAACCTCAAAACCAATTTCTACTCGAAGACTTCAGCTTGCAACCAATTCCATGGAGGAAACCCAATGTTCCTGAGCCAGTGATGTCAAAGCCCATCACAGAAGAGCAGAGGCCAGAGCGGGAGGCCATGAAGAGGCAGGCGCAGCTAGAGCGTGAGAATGCTGCCAAATACACTTCTTTGGGGAAAATGCAATTTTTCATTGAGAGGGAAAAGGAAATGGAAATTTCTCAATACTATGGCTATGCAATATAAGGGCTATTAGGAGTGTTGGTACCCAGAGGGGTTTATTCATATTATAGATAGAAATAAATTCATATTATTATAGATATTTATTCATATTATAGATAGATATAAATTCATATCATTATAGATAATATTTATTCATATTATAGATAGATACAAATTCATATTATTATAGCTAATATTTATTCATATTATAGATATAAATTCATATTATTATAGATAATATTTATTCATATTATAGATATAAATTTCTCTATTTATTTGGATATATTTTAAAACTTAATAAAACATAATAAATATAATTGATAAGAAATAAAGAATCCTTTTGAGTTCTGAGATGCTGTTAACTGTGGCTTTTCTTTGGTGGGGATCAGGATCAAAGGCTGTGTGAGAAAGAATTGTATGGGAGAATGAGGGAGAAGGATAAGAAAAGAGGAAGTAACTTGGTTCAGGCCTAAGAAGGCCAAAAGGCGAGAGATTTTTATGGCTTTTTATAAAAAGCAGGAGTGGGGGAAATGGCAGAATCAGGGTCTGAGGTTAGGACTAAAAGGATACATTTTGAAAAGAATAAAAAATGATAGAAGATGAGTCTTGGCGGACTAGGAAAAATGTGAAGCCTCTAGTGGAGGTTGGCCTTATGTCCCATGTCCACCAGATAGGTATTTTAGAAAACAAGAGACTCAAGACACACCTCCAAAAGGTTTGAGTTGCCTTATCCATCCATGTATGACTGTAGCTGGGCAAGGTTAAGTACAAATCACAGGGGAGTGTACCAAATGGATGGCAAGGGCTCCCAGTTATCCTGGGGGCAGCTGATACCAGGAGCCTAGCCAAGTGCACTGCTGCAGGAGGAGGGCCATCATCCAGAGGCCCTCCGTTTAGTAATCACCGTTTACTAAACACCGATGCACCAGGCCCGCGAATGCACTGCTTCAGTTAACCCGCAGAACAACAGGCAAGACTAGTACCACTATGCCACTTTACTAGTGAGACTCCGCAACGGGCTTAGATCGCACTGCCCACAGAGGAAGGAGGCTTCGGTTTGAGGCCTATATGCCCCCAAAGCCTTCAGGATTTCCAAGCGCGGCCAACCTGGCTTTCAGAGCACAGCGACCGGAGGTTACCGGTGGTCACGACCAAACTTCTGAAGGGACCTAAACGCTAACTTGAGGGGGCCTGCCAGGTCGTCCTCCATGGACGTCCTCTAAACGCGACCAACCGAAGCGCTCGAGAAAAATCCGCTGGAAGGGTCCCTCCTCGCAAGGTAAGAGCGGTGGGCGCACGAGGACGCTGGATGGTGCTCCCAACACCTGCAGCACGCAGGCGCCAGGGGTCTAGCCGCTCTCCCTGGGACCTCTCCCTGGGACCTCGTGGGGCAGCTGCAGGGAGGAGGGTTGGGGGAGAGGAGAGGAGGAGGCGGGGGCGGAAAGGTAATGAAGTGGGGGGAGGAGGGAGATGGGGACCGAGGAAAGTCACCTGGTGTGGGGGGGAAACCGGTAATTTGCATTTAAAAAATTATTTTGGGGACGGCCCCGCTGGCTCGGCGGTTTAAGCGCCGCCTTCAGTCCAGGGCGTGATCCTGCAGACCCGGGATCGAGTCCCACGTTGGGCTCCCTGCATGGAGCCTGCTTCTCCCTCTGCCTGTGTCTCTGCCTCTCTCTCTCTGTGTCTCTCATGAATAAATAAATAAAATCTTTTAAAAAAATTATTTTGTATTGAGCTATAGTTGGCATATCACAAAATTCACTTTTTGAAACTGTAAATTCGGTGTCATTTAGTACCTACACAAGCTTGTGCAACCATCACCATTATCTAACCCTTAATATTTTCATCACCCCAAAAAGAAACCCCCTTAACCCTTAGCAGTCACTTCTCATTCCCTCCTCCCTCCAGCCCTTGGTAACCACGGATCTTCTTTCTGTCTGGATTTGCCTTCTCTGGACGTTTCATTTGTATGAAATAATAAAATATGTGACCTTTGTGTCTGACTTCTTTCACTTAGAATAGTGTTTTCAAAGTTTATCGGTGTTGTAGTGTGTCTACCTCGTTGCTTTTTAGGACTGCAATATTCTATTGCATGGTTCTGTATTTGTTTAATCATCAGTTGGTGGACATTTGGGTTGTTTCTCCCAGTATTTTACACTTACGGAGAGTTTATTCACTCCATTTCACGATAATGAGATAGGGTCGGAGACTGTCAAAAATTTGCCCAAGAATAAGAGCTAGCAATTAGGGAAGCTGGGGTTTGAACTCAGGCGGTCAGATTTCAGAGGTAATAAATTCACATGATAGGACAAACTACAAAAAGTATTCAACAAATACCCAGCTGCTATTTCCCTGCCCCGTTAGAGACATCTACTTTTGCCACACTGTGAATCCTTCCAGAGAAATTATGTCTCAACATGTATGTATCACAATCTGTTGACTAATTAGTCCCACTGATTTGTAATGTCACTTTTATAGCATGTTAAATTTTTATATGTATTTGTATTACTTTTTTCAGAATTTTCCTGCCTTTTTTTGGCCAATCTTTTATATTTGCCATTTCTCTAGAATGTTTTTATCTTCTTTTGATTTTTAAAAAATTTCCTATTTTTCTTGTTTGTTTCTCTTAAGGAGTTTTCTGTTATAATGTTTTTTTTTAAGTCTTCATGTCTGAAACTTTAAATTTTATTTTAAATTCTGTCCTGAGCTCTATCATCTCACTTAATTCTGATTTATGTTGTTCTTCCATCTTATTTTTTTGTTATGGTAAAATATACATAACACAAAATCGGCCATTTAACCACTATTAAGTACAGAATTCAGTGGCATTAGGTATATCCATGATGGAGACGCCTAGGGAGCTCAGCGGTTGGGCACTTGCCTTTGGCTTAGGTCCTGATCCCAGGATCTGGGATCGGATCCCACATCATGCTTTTGTGAAGAGCCTGCTTCTCCCTCTGCCTCTGCCTCTGCCTCTGCCTACGTCTCTGTCTCTCTCTCTCTCTCTGTGTGTGTCTCTTATGATAAATAAATCTTTTTTTAAAAAAGTATATCCATGATGTAGTGCACATTTGAAATAATCATGCCCAAAAATTGAGCAGGACTCCAGAAAAGACTGAGGCAGCAGCCTAGTTTTTGAATCTCCCCAACCTTCTCATAGAAATAGATCAACAAAACCCAAAATACCATTTACCATTTCCAGAACTTTTTCATCACCCCAAAGAGAAACTCGAGCCATTTGACATTAACTTCCCCTTGCCTTTCCGGCCCCATATTCTTTCTCATCTTTTGCATTAGGTCTTCTAATGTCTTTTAGCTTATTTTGAAATGACCTGTTCCAATTTTAATGTTTTGTGAGCCAGTCCTTTCTGACTTGCTTTCCTTGTCTGAGGTGATGCTATTCAGCTCCTTATTCTCATTTTCTTATGCTACCTGTAGAGGCCACTTTTTAGGCAAACAGGCTAGACCAACGGGATGTAGAAAAGGCCCACAACGATGACCTGGCTGGATGCAGATGGGCCCTTTGGGCACCCACCTCAAAATATCCATAGGCCCTAACTAACCAACAGACTACTTACAACCAGGTACAGTTAGCGTAAAAGGGAAACTTCCAAACATCCCCTCCCTCCTCACCTTCCTGGTTTAAATACAGCGCCAGGCCACCGACTGTCTCCTTGCAAACCGCCTCCCCTCTGTTGTCCTGGGGCCATTCCCTTGCAGTGTATTCAATAAACTCCTATCTCCTTTGTTCTGCGTGGGTGAATTCTTTCACCTCCAGGGCCACTGGCTTCCACTGCATCCTCGCCCCACATTTGGGGGCCCCCATTTGATCCAATTGAGAGAAATACCACACCACCTTTGTGTAGGACTAGATCTCTTTTTTCTTCTCTTTGTATCTACTTCTCTAAACATGCACAGAATGGAACTGCCAATCTGCCCTCCCCTCCAGCAAAAAATCTGGTCTATGCAGCTCTTTCTTCATCTCAGGTCATAGTAATACTTTTTCCAGAAAAAGAGAAAGTGTAAGGAGCCTTCATAGTCATTTGACTACTTTCTTTCCCTCCCAGCCACACATCCAGAACATTAACAAATTCCATCTGCCTTACCTTCAAATTGTATCGAGAACTTGTCTACTTCTGACCACTTTTCTCCCTTTCCACTCAAGTCCAAGCTCCTGTCATTCCCTGCCTGGGTTAATGGCAGAGCCTCCTAACTCAGATGTTCCCAAATTTTGTATATTCACTGAGCCGTTCGTGTCTCACCTATAGGCTCAAACAAATACTTAACAGTCCCATTTATTAAGTAGTTAGGTGCCAAAAATGTAGTAAGTATTTATGCCTGCAGTAGGCTTCATAATGGTCATCCAAAGAGATCAGGTCCTAATCCCTGAAACCTGTAGATATTACTACCTTATTTAGAAAAAAAAGATCCTTGGGTGTATATGTGATTAATGAAGGATCTTGACATGGAGAAGTTATCCCAGCTTAGTGAGGTGGGTCCTAAAAGGAATCATATATGTCCCTTTATTTATTTATTTATTTATTTATTTATTTATTTATTTATTTAGTATTCTCTACGTCCAGTGTGGGGCTCAAGAGTCACATGCCCCACCAACTGAGCCAGCCAGGCGCCCTTCACATGTGTCTTTATAAGATCAAGGCAGGAATTTGATACAGACAGCGGAGGAAAAAGCAAGGTGACCATGGAAGCAAATCTTGCATCAGAGCTGCACGAAGCAAGGAATGAAATCCTCTCCAAGAGCTTCTGGAGGGAGTATGGCCCTGCTTATACCTTAATTTTGTCCCAGGGGCACTGATTTCAGACTTCTGGCCTCCAGAACTGTGAAAAAATAAATTTCTGCTTTTATAAGCCACCAGGTTGTGGCGATTCATTAGAGTAGCTACAGGAAAAATGCTCTAGTAACACAACACATTGTGCGATAATATAATACTCCAACAACTAAGGAGACATATGAAAAAAATAGCTGTAAGTGAAAAGAAAAAATATTTTTATTTCACTCTTAA